GTCCCCCCTGCCCAGATCCCTCCCACCCGGACGGGTCTCACACTACGGGAGCTGAAGCTAAGGCTTCCAGAAGGCGGTAGTGTCGCGTTGCCATGGACACACAAATGCTCAACCTTCCACCGTAGAACGCAAGGTCCCCGGCACAGGCGTGCGCGCCCCCAGTGCCCCACTGGGAACACGCGGTGCCTACGTCCACTTCACAGGCTGTATGGTAGTGGGCGAGAATGACTCAGTACTGAGATGGTAGCCGAATCGCAAGATGCTAAAAGTCCTAATTTCCACCAACTCTTTCCATCACCTCTCTTTATGGTGCCAATCACTATGTTAAAATGTTTACAGTGTCCATTCTAAAAGTAGAATGTGACCATAGCTCTATTATAATTTAAGTGCTACCCATTTTTAGTAGCTATAAGGATCCCCCCCCCCCGCAAGCCCTGAGAATTTCTGTAACATTCCAATTACATAATATAATAGCCTGTCCCTAAAGGTACTCTCTTGCTTATGAAACGTTATGTTCTCATGTTTGGTTCGGAAAACATAGCCACTGTCAATAATAAAAAATTAAACGTGTGTTAATTAGAAATACAAGAATAATTCTTAAAGAGGTTTAAAAGTTAGATATCCTGTTTTAGTCACAATAGAAATATATTTGTCAGTCTATCTTTTCTAGGGTTTAGTTAACCTAAGGCAAGCACTGAATTACATTATCTCCCAATGGGTAATTACTATAGTTGCCAAAGCCAGGGTTACACTGCAAAAACCCTCAGAGTTGGTAGGCAGAGCAAAAGTTCTTGACCCATAGGGAAACATCGGTTTTTTTCCCCCAGTCACTGTATTTAACAGATAAAAATGAAGGAAGGGAGGAAGTAGTGGCTACTTCTAGCCAATCAGAAAAATCTGGTAGGGCCAATGCTGTCTCTTAAAAAAAATTTAATTGTGATGAGTCATTTATTATTTAATACTAATATTTTGCATTGGATTTATGCAATTGCAAAATGCAAGTGCAGAAAGATGTCCTGAGAATTAGGTATTTATTTAGGTAACTGGAGTTCCTTTCCTTGGAAGGGAAAAACTCAGAGTGATGAAGGAGGGTATATTGTGTCCTTATCCAATCCTTGTGTAAGAGGTACACAAGTGGGTGCTAGGCTCCCTACTGTATCCAGGGCACTGATTGGTCAGCTCACAACAGCTTGCTAACACCCAGACTCAGTACAGTGATATATGGGGAAAGGACCTGTGTTGACCCTCACAAGTAAGTCACCAACGCTAAGTCATCAGGAGAATGACAACCAAAACAGATTTAAAAAATAAGTGGTCAGAGACATAACAGAAGGGAGGAATCGATCGAAGCTGCAAAGTGCTAGGCATATCGCATATGCTAATTTATTTCATGCCCACAACAACTCTTTGAGGGAGATATTATCCCTGTTTACAGATGCAGAATCCAAGGCCATGAAGTCTTTTGCCCAAGGCCACACAATTAAAGGGAAGCAGCCACACGACTGCCACATCACTGCCCCTGCAACATAGGCATCCTAGAAACACAATGTCCCATTCCATGCTCTCCGTAGCCTTAACTGGACTCTCCTTGCCTAACTGAACTCTCCTGGATATAACTGGACTCTGCTTGCTTTTCTCCTACAGCACAGCCCTCTTCTGGTTTCCCTCCACCTCTTTGGCCATTCTTTCTCTGTCTCTATTCGTCCTCTTCTACCTGTCTAAGCAATGTTTCTTGGTCTTTCCTTTCCTCACTCTATCCTTTACCTAGGTTGTCACCCACTGTATGTGCATCCGCACAAGTACACAGATTTACATATCCCACTTAGGCCACTCTCCCTGACAAGGTGAAATCTCACTATCATATATAATATATATAAATATGAATTAACTAAAACTAAATAAAATTTAAAGTTTAGTTCCATATTGACACTAGTCACATTTAAAGTGTTCAATAGCCACATGTGGCTAGTGGCTACTGTATTGGGTAGTGTAAGTAGAATATTTCCATCATCACAGAAACGTCTATTGAGCAGTGTTGCTATAGGGCTAACTTCACTAAAAGGAAACATAGGGGATACAGAAACATATTAGTGACACCACAAAGAAGCAAACAGACATATCTAGAATGTGGGATATTCTATAGGACAACTGACCCAATTAGTCTGCAACAAGTCAATGACATTGAAAAACAAAGGAAGGGGGAAGGGAAATGCTCTAGATGGAAAGATACTTAAGAGACCTGACAACCATGTGTAATATGTGAACTTTGTTGGAACCCTGATTCAAAGAAACCAACTTAAATAGAATATTTGGGACTATGAGGGAAATTTGATTATGGTTTGGTTATTAGATAATACCAAGCAAGTAATTTTGATAGGTATGACAATATCCTTATGTTTAGATAAGGCAAATAATATTGTTTAGAAATAAATATTAAGGTACATAATAGAAATGATCTAATATCTAAGATTTTGTTTTCAAATACTCCAGAAAATGAATAAAATGGATAAAGCAAATGTAGTTAAATCTTGATAACTGTTGATCTAGGTGATGGATATATGGAGTTTACTATAATTCCATACTTTTGTGTATTTAAAAATATTTATAACAATTTAAAAATCTTTAACACATGCTTAAGTAATAAGAGTAATCATATTCTTTTGGGGACCTCCTTCTGTCCTATAATTCCCATTAAGAGGATTCTTGGTGGCATCACTACAAAATTCCCTTCGATAGAAGTCTTACATACATTTAAAGAGAAACATATGGTGGATCTTTTCACCTAAAATGCAGATGACATAAGAAAATTATTGTGGTATATAATACTTTACAAGTAATTCAGAAGGAAACTGACTTAAAGAAAAAAGGAGCACTGTATTACAAGAATAGTGGTCTATGCATGAAGGTCCAAACATGAGCTGGCAATTTGAGTAGTGTTTCTTTAAGTATATATACTTCTCGAAAATTTTCCCCAAGTATCAGAAATGCTTCCAAGGAAGGAATTAAATTGCTACTGAATGGCTTTTAACAATCTTTAAGTCATTTGGGATCTGGGCCCACACATGGAATGCATTTCAGAAACTTTATTAGAGCTTATAAGTCAAGTTCATATGTTACTCTTTGGCTTCTGCTTTGACTCACTATTTGTAGGCTCAATACTTAACTATACCACACAAACCCTTCCACAAGGACTGCCCTTGGGCATTCTGGACTATATAGTCCATATATTTGCATTTTAAGGTAATTTCTATTCAAGAAAAACTTATTTGCTCCTTTAAGTTTCAGCTGGTTAGTTCTATGTCCATAGCAGTACTAGGCTAATTATGCCCCAAAGCAATTTCCAAGGAATTATATTTATCACGCAATATAAGACAGTAGAAAAGAGTATGATTTAGTTCCAAGGCTTGTAAAAAGTGTCCACTGTGCCTGGGCACAGGATTTAGGCCCCAAAGTCAGCAAGAGCTAAGATAAGGCTACTTCTAATGTTGTTATATCCACCCTTTCTTCTCATACCAAAATATACCTATTTCCATTCCATTTTTACCCTCTTCTGTCTTTATTTAATCCTACACCTTTCCTTTTATCCTTGTTTCCATGCATCAGTTCCCTATTCATCTATTCGGCATGTATTTATTGAGTACCTACTATGTGCAAGGTACCATTCTGGACAGTGGAGGGTGAACAAGAAAAAAATATCCTCTTGTGGACCTTACATTCTAGTGCAGAAAGAAATACAATAAATAAGTGAACATAAATAATAATAGTATGGTAAATGCTAGGAAGGGAGTACCTAGGGGGTGAGATGGAAGGTTGAGGGAGGAATAAGAACCTAGTTTAGACCCAGTAGACAGGTCAGCTTCTCTAACAGTATGACAGTTAATCTAAGATCTAACGACAACAAAAAGCATGACCACTAGCACAACTTTTAAAAGAACTAAGAGAAAAGACAGCTAGGCAAAGGGAGCAACAAATGTAAAGGGCCATGGGGTCAGGAAAGAAATTGGTATGTGAGGAATTGAAAGGAGGCCAATGAGTATACTAAGAGAGGCCTGGGCAGGGAAGAGAGGAGGTTGACATGACACTCAAGAGTTAGGCTGGCATTAGATATTACAGGAACTTAAACAGTTATAGCAGACAATATGATTTGAGTACCTAATACCCATAATAAGGTCTTCTTCCTTGCTAATGGAACCCCAGTTTTGCTTGGATGGCAATGCATCTAGATCCAGGGAATGAACCATAATTATTTAAGCCTGTTCTGACCAATGATATACACAGAATATCACTGAGCGCTTCTGAGAAATATTTTAATGTAATTTCATTAAAAGTAACGCATTTAAAGTTTAAAGTAATAGAAGTTACTTTAAATGAAAGCTACTAGTGACTAAAGCTGGTCTTGCCTCCTCTCCCTTCAGGCTTTAACTGCTGTCATATTTTCTCCTGTGGCTTTCACTCGTAAACTCAAAAGGTTTAGGCACAGTGTATCTCAATTTTTATTTGTAATTAATTATTAAGGTATAACATATATTCACTGGAAAATATTCAAACAGAATAATACAGGAAAGCTAAAAATGGAACGTAAAGATGCTCAGAAACTTTCCTCATAGCCTTACCCACCAGGGGTAATCATTAACATTTCTTGTCTACTCTCCAGGAGTTTTCTATATACATGTACGTACACGTACACATACACATTTTTACAAAACTTGGATCATTCTCTTTCTCCATAAATATGCACACACATAAAATTAATTTTGCAACTTTTTTTTTAACTCAACAGATTTTGGAGGTATTTCTATATTAGCACATTTATATCTATTTTACTTTTTTTAAAGACTGATAATATCCCATTGTATTAATCGACCGTAATTTAAGTTCCTCTATTGACAGGCAATTAGGCTGTTTCAATTTTTTTTGTTGTTTTTTTGCCGCAAAACAAAGCTGCAGTAAACATCTTTGTAAGTAAATCACTGCATAAATGGAGCAAAATTAACTGCTGGATAATTTCCTGGTAGTGAAACTGCTGAATCAAAGCAAGTAATTCTGATAGTCAAATTGCCCCTCCCAAAAGGTTACTCAAACGACATTTTCTCTAACAGCATTTCCTCACATCTTGTCAACACTCAGTATTGACTAACTTCAAAAGTTGGCCAATCTAATAGACTGAAAAAAATTGTGTCTCGTTTTTAGGACTCTTTTTGAGGACAGCAATACCTGAGTGTTAATCACGCACGTTTTGAAGTCAGACTCCCTTGGCTATCATAGTTCTTCCCCTTAATACGTGTGACCTTGGCATGCTGGATCTATTTCTTCTTCCAAAAAGGGGGACAGAGAACAAATATTTAGGTTTAAACGACATATGTAAAAATACAGGAATCCCTCCCTGTACGGTTCGCTACTGGTGCTCGTCTTAATTTTTTAAAGCGGCGCTTGGTCCAGTACTTCATCTTTGGCATCCTCCTCCTAGCCAAGTTCTGTAGTATTCTTGTTGCTTGTATTTCGAAATGATAGGGAAATTGGCTCTGCTTTTCAAAATTCTCCCTTCTTTCCCCCCAACCCCGCTTCGGAAATACTGGCTTACATATCAATGCACAGCGATGAGTTGCAGTTTTTAAACAAGTGGACAACACTTGGTCCGAGCACTACCCCGCATCCAGGACCCACTATGTACAAGCGTAGGGAACACTAGACAACAAGTATTTAATACTACATGTCCCGCAGCGCCGATAGGGTAAGTTGGCAGCGCTGAAAGTCTTCAGAAAGCCAAGTTTTAAAAGACTTCCAAACCCACCCACTACAGGGAGCTCCCGGGACACACTTCACAAGCCCCCGCCCTCCAAGCCGGAAGTGACGTCCCAAGTTGAGTCCGTCATTTTCCGCCGTCCGCCGGTGGCGCGGCCCAGGCTTGCGTGGAGCGTGCGTCGGCGTCGCGGCTAGCAGAGGGATTCTGGGTAACGGCCCCGGCCCGCTGGGGCGGCTGGCTCGGCGCAGCTGGTTTGTCTCACGCCAAGTCTGTTGGCAGTGGGGGTTATAGAGCCTGGGGCAGCCGGACATGGAGCAGCCATGGCCGCCGCCAGGACCTTGGAACCTCCCCCGGGCAGAGGGCGAGGCAGAGGAAGAGAGTGACTTGGACGTGTCCCCCAGTTCTCCCCGCTGCCCACAACTGCCGGGCGGCGGCGCCCAGGTGAGAGGGGTCCGCTTTCTGCTGGGGGAAGGAGAAGTGCCATCGCCAGGCCCCTAGAGTCCTGTCTCTGCGACCCTCTTCTGTGCCCTGTTCTGCGCCCCCACTTCACCCGCGGGGAACGGGGCCCTGATGCCATCCCACCGCTGTTGTAGCATCTTCTAAGGACTTCGAAGAGGGGCTGGCCATATATTTCCAACCTCTACCTCCACGCACACCTTTTCACTGTGGCTAAGTCCATCTCACCCTTGGAAGACGTTTCCCCACCCCCCATCCTGACAGATTGGGCGGCTCATGCTATTAACATTGACCCTTTGTCCTCGTGTGCGTGCTTTTATCCGAGGATTTTATTCTGTTGAAGACTCTAATACTTTGCATAGTTGATAGGAACAGTGAATGGTTGTATATGGTTGTGTTTCAGACATTCACTGAGCTCCTGACTTAAAAAGATTTCTCATCCAATTTCACTGACTTTTGACATCTGAGCAAATGCTTTAAACCTCGCTTTTGATGCTAGCGTAAATCTCTCCCATTCCTGTGACCATTTTACTCCTTAGCGTTGTTTTAATTTTGCTTTACATCATTCTCCAGTAAAAACATATACCCACACGTTTGCCTTTTCCTTAAGACTTCTTCCTAAGGTCCCTGAAGCTACTCATGGTTTTCACCCCAGCATTCATGCCTCTGAAACTTAACTAAATGTGATACACCATTTAAGGATTTTTCTGGGTGCTATCTTAGGGATTGCCTATGTTCTGGTTATTCTCACCTTCTCCTGGTTATTCTCCTAACCTCAGTGTGTTTGGAAGTATATTTCAGGATCACATTAAATGAAACGGAAGTATATTTCAGGATCACATTAAATGAAACAAGTATATTTCAGGATCACATTAAATGACACAGATTATGAGTGTCTGCTTTCTATTGTAGTTTCAGGCAAAATGGGATCTAAGAGCTTAACTGAATTAATATAGTTTCTCTCTAAACTCATCTTGCTAGCTGTTAATGAAAATGAACGACTTAAATCATTTGCCAATAAGTGTAGGGTCATTGATCCTATGCCCAGCTCACGGGGGTTGGCTTCACATAGGGAAAAATGCTGTTTCATAACTAGAGACTCTACTTTGGCCAGCTCTTCAGTGGGAAAGTGCAAGACATTTTTTAGGACGACAGAGTGAAAGTTGATAGGTCAGTAGTCACCCACTAAAATGGATCACTAGTGTCATCTTTATATACAAGATACATTATATAATCACATAATGAATGTTACAGAGAAAAAACAAATGAACAGCAGCTGCCATTGTTATTTTGAAGGCATATGGAGAGGATAGAAGAATTTCAGTGCATTGTGGTTGAATTACAAAAATAACCTAAAAAACTTAGTTTAAAAAATATTAATTTTTACTTGTACACTTGGAATTATAAGCTCATTTAGCTGAAAGGAATTTTAGAAGTGAATAGGCTTCTCTCTTTCATTAAAGTGATTTCCCTGAGACCATATGACTAGTGAGAGGTAAAATTGAAACTAGAACCCTAGCTTTGACTTCTAGTACAGTGTTTTTTCCAACCTACTGCATGGTCCATCCTGTGATGTAATGTAAACCTTTATTTGGCTGAAACTACCTTTGAATGATGTTAAAATTTGTCATTACTAATCCTAAATCAGTTCATATGTGTATAACCTACTTATTTGTCTTGCTGGCTTTAGGACTTATGTTTTAGATTGGAATATTTGGAAATAATAAAATGTGTAATTCAATTCATAAGCATTTTATAATCTTTATAAAAATAGCTTTGGTTTAATTTTGCCAAACATGGGGACTCTAGACAGCTTAATGTTATATGTGATGTGTAGATCTGAGATCCAATTAATGTAAAGGCAGTTTGGAATTTAGAGATCCTGTTTGAGAAGTTCTTTTTGTTTTTGTTTTTTTAATGTAAAGTTACATTAGTAGATCTTAATGCTAACAGTTCCTTTTTTGAATTTATATTCATTAAAGTTATGTTTAATATCCCTTTGAAACCTCAGTATATTCACAGATAAAATATGACTTTATTTAATCATCTCAATACATGTTGGATAGTTCGCTCAAGTGGCCAAATGTTGTCTGTGTAGTCTGGAAAGGAATTTAAACAAATTATTTTTAGAATTTGGAGATAAGATTTCTATGTTTGATTTGAGAAATGATTTGAGAATTTGCTCCCACATAATTCGAAATGCAAGATCTATTTGTCTATATCTCTTTTCTTAGTATATCTTTGTCTTTTCTTACAATATAAATTTAAGCTTCATTTTTCTCCTTTTCCTGGCCCCTTAAGCATAGCTAGTCTACACTTATTCTGGATTCTAAGTTAGCAAAAAATAACAAATACTTTACTTGGTTAGTTAGGGCCATGTGGTGCCTGGGCTCCAAACCTGCTAAATGAGTAACTAAAACATCTGAATAATAACAATGGCCACATTTGCCCCAATAGAAATCTAAATGCAGAAGACAAAGTTAGATAGGAAGTATGGGCCTTGCATGCTACTTGACTCAGAATTCTTTACCACCACTAGTCTGTTCCATGAAGTGGAGAGTCATTTATTCATCTAAGATTTATTGAATTCTAGCCCCTAAAGAAGCTGATCTTTGAGTAAGCAAATAAACACAATATTGTGTGACAACACCACTATAGAAGTACGTATGTATAACTTGGGTGGAGAGGGAAGGGATAAGGGAAAATTTAGAGATAGGATGCCAGAATCTGGAAGGAAGATAGGAATTTAGTGTGAGGGGTGGGGGTGGGTTTGGGGAGGGGTGCTATATTGAAGGAGTGGATGGAAAGAATAAGCAAACAAGTAGAAGAGTAGCTAGAACTGAGTCCAGAGAGATAATAGGGAGTGAGATCATGAGAGACAATGCCATGTCACAGAGTTTGCACTTTATCCCAAGAGCCTAAGCATGACTAAAATTATCAGGTTTGTTTTTTAGAGAGATCAAGTCTAGCAGAGTGGAGAATGACTTTAGATGAGAAAGGCTGTATTTATGTAATTAAGGTATGAAATTCTAAGAACTTGAATAGTGATGCAGATAAGGGAACAGACTGGAGTAAAATTATTCTGCTTACTTAGTTTGAAATTGATCTACATTTTGGCTAAGAAATCGTAAAGAATGTGTCTTCAGCTTTTGTTTTATAAAGCTGAGGAATATAAGGCACCCATCACAGTGCCTTACATTTAATGGTTCAATAAATATTAAACTAATCACTATTGCTTCTGAGGAACAGAATCACCAGGGTGGACCTTTTTAAAAAACTAACTTCACCTGTTTTGATTAGGAGTAAGTTAAAAGGTATCTATTTGATATAGTCAGTTATAAATAGAGATTCCCAATAAGAACTTCTAAGATTGCCAAGGATTGGGATGATACAGAAAGAAAATAGAAACCAAGAAATGATTACTTTTAAATAAAAGATTCGTTGCACTGAAGAATTTGCAGAGCAAAACTCTAAAGGTCTGATTTTTAGCATGTTGCGTGATAAGGTGGTGAACTAGAATTAAGCTTTTGTTCTTATTTTGCTGTGTCAGGGTTATGAAGACTATAAATCAAATGTTTGTTGAACACAAACTAGATGCAAGACACTGCTAGCTGCCAGGTTTTTTGTTGCTGTTGTTGGGGGAGGAGCTCAGATTAACAAAGAAGCTTATAGTCTAGTGGATGAAACAAGGCCTATAATGTAAAAATGTAACTGCATACACAGTAGGCAGGATACATAGGCACCAAAAACATTGTACAGAAATCCATGACTAAAAGAAAATTGGGGAAAAAATAAACGTAGTTTCATGGATTGATAATACAATTAAAAAAAATTGAACTGTGCTGCGTAAACATACCTGTTGCCTTCTTCATCGCTTACAAACATTATTTTCCATCCAGATGTATAGCCATGGAATTGAAATGGCTTGCCAAAAGCAGAAAGAGTTTGTCAAGAGCTCTGTGGCATGCAAATGGAATCTCGCTGAAGCTCAGCAGAAACTTGGTAGCTTAGCACTGCATAACTCTGAGTCCTTGGATCAGGAACATGCCAAAGCACAAACAGCAGTATCAGAACTGAGGCAACGGGAAGAAGAATGGCGACAGAAAGAAGAGGCTCTAGTACAAAGAGAGAGAATGTGTCTGTGGAACGTGGATGCCATTAGCAAGGATGTTTTTAATAAGGTATGACCTTTTATTGCACCATAATGGAAGATGAAAAAACTAAAGTGTTTGTACAAATCAGTTGTGCATATTTGACAGCAAAGCAACAAAACCTGTAAACAATATTCGTTTTTGATAGTTTATTAAAAGTGCTTATTGGAGAAACCTATATCCCCAATAGTGTTTAATGTGGGTGGTCCTTAAAACAAATATATGGCTACAGCATAGCACACTGAATATAAATGTGGACTCTGGAATCAGACTGCCTCAAATCTCTTTGTCACATGCTGGCTTTTGTGACCTTGGGCAAGTCACTTAACATCCACAAGCCTCAGTTTCCTCAACTATATGGGGGGGTATGAAGACTAGATAATAACGTAGCATGGGGCGTGGCACATGGTAAAGCTCAGACATTATAAGCGCTTTTCGATGTTGCTGTGCCATCAGCTTGCTATCAGTTTTGTAACACTAATGTATAGTTATTTGATTTACTAAATAAAGTCTTTTGTTGTTATTTACCTGTATGTAGTTAGTAAACCTCAGGTAGTAGTGTGCATTTAGTATTTTAAGCTTTACCAAGTGAAAGGACTAGTACAGCACTTACACTGAGTTAGTTAATTAAGAGCAGTTTTCTGTTTCTCACTGGATTATACAGGCCTTATTCTTTGACTTTTATATCTGAAGAAAATATGGGCAATGAAATTCAGTCATTTTCATCTAATGTCTAAAGTAGGACTTCTTTCTGTTTGTACTAAACTTAACTCTCAAGCTTCAGGGATAGACTTTTCATTCTTGTCTAAGTCCACATTCACTTTATCTTTAACCATCATTATTCTCTAGACTTCTGAGTCTATAGCTCCTTGTTTCAGTTCTGGCATCCATTCTCAACCTACCCTCTTAAGCACTGCACTCTTAATTTCTTTCCTCAGAGACCGGCTCTAGTTCTACTACAGTAAGTAACACACGTAGGTAAATCTATAACACCACTAGCCCTATTATTACTTTATTCTTTAATCAAGAAAAATTATGAGTACATATTATTGTAAAAAAGAAAAACAAAATACATATGTATGCAACATAGAATTGAAAGACTTCTTTCACTATCAGTTCCATTTCCCAGAAATACTATTACAGTAAGTCATATTTATCTAGACTTTTTCTGTGCTTGTACCAGTTTATATATTTTTCCTCCCCCACAAGAGGATCATTCTTTATCTGAATGATTCACTATGTCAGTATATATTGTTCAAAGGGGTGTATCTTAAGTGTCATTTTATTTCTGGTTTGCATTTATACCCCAAAACTATTCAAAAAAATTTTTTTCTTCCAGAGGGAATGATCAAAACAGTGTTTCTTTGTTTTATAAGTTAATGTCTCTTAACGTAGTGGTCACAAAAAATATAATTTCATTTGTCTCTGCTTTTAATTGTTTTTTTTTTAAACTTAGGTTCTAACAAGGCCTACATTTATACCACAAATTAATTAGGACTATCTTTATGTTCCAGTCATTTGCTCAAAATCGTACATTGATTTTGTCTGGGAGCTTGAGACTTGAGAGGACTGGTCTAGATCTGCGCTGTCCAACTTGATAGCCACTAGCCACATGTGCTATTGAGCGCTTGAAATGTGGCTAGTCCGAATTGAGATGTGCTGTAAGTGTAAAATACACACCAGATTCTGAAGACTTAGTACCCCAAAAAAAGTAAAATATTTCATTAATAATTTTTTGTATTGCTTACATGTTGAATGATAATATGTTGGATATGTTGGGTTAAATAAATGTTATTAATTTATCTCTTTCTTTTTGCTTTTTATTGTGGCTAATAGAAAATGTTAAAATACATTTGTGACTCGGATTTTATTTCTACTGGACAGTGCTGGTCTAGATAGCAGAATATATAAAGGAACAAATGCTTTTATTTTGAAGTATATAAACTTTGATAATCTTCCTGATTATAAACTGGCAGAGAGCTGGTTTGCAATTTTCATTTTTGGCAGTAATGATCTCAGGGTTTAAATGTGATCACAGAATGTTCTGAGAAACTGTTCTGCCAGTTTTTCTGGCCAGACACAAACTTCATCTTGGTCTGTTTTATACTTATTTAATTGAAAATAAGTGCTTTCTTAATAGAAATTTGTACTTGATTTCGGAATCAAACTCTTTGGCCTTTCCTGAGAAAAGTTTACAACTGAGGTCTACTTTAGGTTTATGTCTTATCAAATAATTTATAGTAAATGTACTTTATTCTCTATGTGCTTTGAATTTCTGAGTTTATTTCCAGAAAAAACTCCAAAGATTAGGCTACAGTTACAACTGTTTAATGGAAATGAATAATGAAAAGTATAAATTATGCATGTAAAGGATCTTTCTATACCTACCTTCGATAGGGAAATTTAGTTTAATAAAATAGTTAATTCATTTGTTTTTATGTATAATTTCTAAAATAATTCTATAGTTTTCCACACATCTATCATTTTTATACAAAAGTAATGAAACTCCAGTACAAGTAAATGTTAATTGTTTAATAGAGTTTAACAGATAAATTTTATGATATAATATCAATATAATACTATACCACCTTTTTATAGTGTCTATAGGAAGGATTGCTAGACATTCGGTCTCTGAGAAACAAGAGTCAATTAGAATATAAAATCTAATTTTAACTTCAAATTTTTTACTTAGAGTTTTATTAATCAAGATAAAAGAAAAGAAACAGAAGATGGAGATAAATCAGAATCATTTATGCAAAAATATGAGCAAAAAATCAGACATTTTGGTAAGTCTACTATTTTGAGTTTCCTTCTTTTGTAGAGTTCGATATCATAAATATGTGTACAAAAAGTGGACTCATAAAATGGGACCAAAAAGAAGATAAGTGACAAACTCTAGTTGTGTAATGACTTTTGGCACAGTTGTTCAGCTCTTGTTTTAGACTTGGTGGGGAGGTCCTTAAAAAAATGGATTGACAGAGTAAACCAAATGGTGAAGAGAAGCAAATGTTATTAAAATGAAGAGAAGTAATCTGTTATTATATAATACTACCCTCAAAGACACGGTCTTTACTCCATAGCCTCTTTCCATTTCTTGTCTAGTCTTTGCGTTTTTCTTTTTCCCTGTTAGCGTCCTTTGTTTGATATATGTGGTTATCATATGGTTATAGGATTTGCATTCATTTTTTTTTCCTCAGGTTTTGGATATGGTGCTATATAATTCATGCAGATCCTTGAACTGCTATTCAAATAAATACAGTAATAGAAATATATATACAAAAAACTGAAAAATAGTTTATAGGGGAAAAGTGGTGAGATAGGGATTGATGTAAGGCTTCCCAAAGGAAGTAACATCTGAACTAGATTGTGAGGAACACATAGGAGTTTTCCATGTCGATGAGGGAGGCAAAGCAACAGCATGTGCAAAGGCAGAGCTGGGAAACAGCATGCTGTGTTCTAAGATTTATAAGCAGTGTGATCCTGCTGGAGTAAAAGTGCTATGGGAAGTGTTAGGAGTTAAGGTTCAATGCATATTTTCTTGATCTCAAGTAATATGTTAATTTAGTAAACATAGTTTTTATTTGTAGCATGTTAATAAGCTTTTTTTTAAAAATAAGCTTTTTAAATAGCATTTTGAGATCTTTTTCCTATTGATATTTCCTTTACAAAGCCTTTAGAATTTCATCCATCCTTCAGTTATGTCAAGACAATGGATACCACTTTAGATTTTTTCCCTTTTGTTACGTAGTTTATTCATAAAATATTCATTTTTCTCATACTTTTTATTTTAAAAAAAGAAAAGCTGTGTATTCTATTTAATTAAAAATAATATCTGAAGAAATAAAGTTTATCCTTGTACATGCTATTATCATTCTGGTATTATTTATAATAGAAAAATAGAAGATAATATGTGTCACTTGGATAGATATTAAAATCTTACATGAGTAGAGCCCTGAATCATAAGGATGAAAAGCAAAATTTTTAAAAATGAGTTTTAGCTGTGATAATGTGAGTTGCCACTTTTACCTATAGTTCTTATTTCCTAAGCCTGTGGTTTCCACTCTAGGAAAAGAGTACCATATACTGATTACTCTTTCATAGCATAACTGAATCTGGTAGACAAGCATCCCTCAAGGTGTTGTCAGCCAGCTGGCATACTATAGGCTAATTGCTTTGGAGCCATGGGAAACCTAGTGAGTGTGAAACAGTTCCCTCACTTTTGCTGTAAACTTGGTCAGAAGCAATTTTGTGTGGGAAGATATCCTAACCTCACAAGCTGTAGTAACCCAAGCACTAAAACTGTATGTGTCTTCAATAAAACATTTCACCATTCCATGTTATGTTCATAAGACTAGTGAATTTCATGAGCCCATTGTCTTCATTTCTTTTGCTGTAAAATGAGTTTCTGGGTCAAGAAATAATGTGGTATGGGGAATAACTCATTTAAGACCACAGATGTATTACTGGTAGATGCATGGGAAGGAAAGAAGGCAATACCAGATCTAGAATGGGCTTGTTCAAAGGTGAAATGATACCAAAATAATCAACCCGTTACTTGATGGCTGGCAAGTCTCTCTGGCATATGGTGCTATATTGAGGTTTCAGCACTGGTTTCTGCTATTGGCAAATTAGGTGTTCAGTGGCTGTCCTAGAATATGGATGGGGAAATCCCAGGCTGTTGAATGTGCATAATCTCAAATCTGCCACCATGACCCCTTAATTTATAAAATATTGTTCAAGCAGTGAGATGGCTGAGGAAAAAGGCTGACATGACATCTGCAAATGATTAATAAGCAATTGTTTTGCTATTGTATGTGTGGGCTTCCAGTTTCTCATGCTATAACACTAACCAGAGCCTTACTATCTTCAAAGCCAACCAGACCTTATAGCCACGGTTTACATTGTGCCAGTTTCTTAGTGGAAATGCACATTGACTTTTACTTTGGAAGAAATAGCCTACTTGCTGCAGCCCATTGGATCCCAGAAATGTTACTAAGGTTGTAGGCTCCCAGAAATTACCTGTGTTTTATTTCCCACTTTCTGTCATGTTTATATTTTACCAAGACATCTGGGATAGCTGCTACTTTTTGCTCTCCAGGCTCCATCAGTGTGAAATAGATCATCTTAGAGTCATGTGGGATGATAAGATAATCAAAGTCCCTGTGGCCTAAATTATGGCACAGAGTTGATAGAGACCTGAGTTGAGACAGTGAATGTTTGTTTAATGCTGTCTTTGTTGGGTGGATGCACATGTTTCTGGTGTTGTATGCATATTGTGGTAAAGGAAAAAAAGCATTTGCCAGAATAAAGACTACATTGATATACTCCTTTGAAGTAAACACATCTGGAATAGCAGCTGTAATTCAAGCTTCCAGCTAGAGGCTTTCCAGACTTGGATTGCATTCCAGACTCTTGGAAGACATAGGCCTGGTACATGGGAGGCTGTGAGGGGCTGCAGACACTTCACACCAGTACTTCTCTGGGGTATACTTAAATTCTTCAAAGTTCTTCCTAACTTTCTCTGTGGTATTTGTTGACTGTCTTATGTTGCTTTTACCTTTATAATTGGATGGAATTTGCCATCTGATGATAGGTGGTACAACTATATCACAGAGTATTATGAAGCATTGAAAGCTTCATTTTTTTCCCCTACATTTGTGTTTAATTTATTAATTTAGCTAATTCGTGTTTTCTAAATATAAAATATCAATTTAGAAACACAATCTGTTTTCTTTCACATTTCACAAAATAATTTTATTCAAAGTCATATGCGTCTTTGACATCACTGTGTTTATGATCATCAGAGCTGCTTTTTGATGATCTAACAGTTTTTTGTGGCTCATCATCTGTTCAATTCCAGCCAGGGTTAGCTGTGCTACAGCATTTTTTTAATCTGTAGGATGTTGTCACTGGAAATTTTATCAAAAGCTGTAAACATTTGCATAAATACTATGACAGGATCTTTTTCAGTTATACTGAAGGTGGATATTCAGTCTCTTCTATGTAATCACTTATATATTGCTTTTCAAATATTAATATCCTAATTTTGAGAAACATTGAATATAAAGTATTCTTGAATAGAATGTGAAGTGAAATGAGTAGAAAATTAATATGTATGCTATGATTCTAATTTTGTTTCTTTAAAAGTCATTAAAAAATAAACCCAAGGGCTGGCCGAGTGGCTCAGTTGGTTAAGAACTCGCTCAAGAGTTTGAGCTCTGAGCAACAGCGGTTCGAGTCCAGCCCGAGTTGTGCAGCCGCTGAGCTGCCAACAGGTAGCAGGATGGCCCAGCTAAAAAATAAAATAAAATAAATAAATAAATAAACCCAGAAGAAAATACATCAAAATGTTAATATTAATTGTCTATTGTAGAATTGCAGATGAATTTTATTTTCTGGATTTTTCAAATTCTTCACAATGAATATACTTTATTTTTGTAATCTGAAAAAATATTTTTAAAGAGTTTATACTAAGAATTCAAGGATGGCTTAACATTAGAAAACTCAATATGATTCACCATATTAATTGATTATAATAATATAACTACAGGGCTTAGTGATTGGTTTGATGTGAGAGGAATGGAAACATCAGAGGAATTTCTTAGAATGCTTCATTGGTGACATGGTGCCTAGGAAGCACTATAGATGGCAGGGAAAGAAGAATGGGTTTAGTTTCAAATAAGATCAGTTACATAGGGGCATGATAGGTAGAAATTGTTGTCTGGTGGTAGGTGATTGCAAATACAGGAGATCTAGGGTCAGGAAATATACAAAAAGAAGTCATATATCTTTTCATTAAGAAATTCACAACAACCTAGTTAGGAGATTTTTAGCACCTAGAGAAATTAAGATGATTAGTATAATTTAAAGGATTAAAATCTATCTTATAAGTATAATGCAAAGAGGAAAAGGAAATCAACAAGATTGCGTATTTGGGGGCCATGTTAGGAATCAGGTGGAATGTTGAGAGCTGATAGATGGATTTAGATGTTCACCAGGAAAATTTATAGGTGAAAGCATATAATTAAAATATTTTAATTTATCAAAGTAAGGTTTTTCAAGCATTCAGAGAAATTGGTTCGCTAGTTTAAATGACTAGATAATCCTTAACCAAAGGATTCACTTTGAATGAATGAATGAATGAATTATTCATATTGTATTAATAATACCTAACATTTATCAAGTGTTTACTCTCTGTCAGACACTCTTTTAAGTGCTTTATATGTATTAACTAATTTAATCCTCACAAAAATCCTGTGAGTTAGGTACTGTTTTTAGCCCTATTTTACATATGAGGAAATAGAGGCACTGAGGTATAAAGGAACTTGCCCAAGGTGTAGTAAGTGGTAAGGCCAGTATTTGAACCTGGGCAGTTTGTCGTTAAAGTCTGTTTTCTTAGTCATCGTGCTAGATTGTGTTACTCTCTGTTTATAAGTTTGTTTACAAATTCCAAAATAACATTAGTAATTTGTTACTTTCTGTTCCACTCAGCCATTGATTCTCTTGATATATTTTGTTCATAAAATTTGCACAAAGGTCAGTATGGACCTAACTTTTCAATTTCATAATAATTTGGTATACATTTTTTAAATCAAGTCATAACAAATATTTCCAGATAAAGAAAAGCTATGGTCAACCTCAAGTGTTAATTTTGTCTTGGGTATTAAATAGATAGTTTAAAAACTTTAACATTTAATGACACCCTTCCTCATGACCTCTACAAGTGTCACTAACTCATATTATTTTTCCTGCAAAAGAAACCAAAATGGATAGGATTTTGGTTCCTCTGTGAATCATGGCTACCATTAAGAAGTAAACAGGAGAAGCAATGCTCTCTATGGATAGTAGATAGAGTTGAAAATATTGCCTTCTCAGAAGCGTAACAAAGCTAAGGCAAAACTGCTTTATAGGATTTATTTTATGGCTTGAGGTATAAGAAATAGGATTATGCCTTTAGGTATGATCCCCAGAAGTTATTAGACTCTTTAAGTATAGTTTGAGAAGTTTTAAGGAACTTCCATAATCATTCTGCTTCTCAATTTAAAATGACCTAATCACTATATCCAAAGTGTTGGGGAAATAACTTTATAAAGCTTGTAAAACTCTTTATGAGAAAATGCTAAAATGCTTTTTTCCCCTGTTTTTTTAAATGAGGGAAAAAATCATTTATTTTCAATTGATTCTTGTGTGTTGCTAAATGTGTAAGTAAGACATTACACATAAATGTCTCAGTAAGACATTTGTCCTAAGATTTGTTCTTTCTTGTGTTCTCATGTGGAACTTAAATACATGGAAGTTCATTTTGTGTCTAGAGGAAAGATTTACTACCAAACTATTGAGACAGCGTTATAAAATTTCCATGTTAATTCAGTAACATCCAGACTTCTAGGATGAACCTAACATGCCTAAAGCTAACAGTGTTAATACTTAATTTATTCAGGTGTAAAGCTGACTGCACAAAGTTAACTAAAAGCTAACCCTTTGGGCCGGCTGAGCGGCTCAGTTGGTTAAGAGCTTGCTCAAAGGTTTGAGCTCTGAGCAACAGCGGTTCGAGTCCGGCCCGAGCTGAGCTGCCGTTGAGCTGCCAACAGGTGGCAGGATGGCTCAGCTAAAAAAAATAAAAAAATAAAAAAAGCTAACACTTTGCTGCCTCCATGATTACTTGGGTGGTATCGACTTTTTGACTAAATTTCTTACTAATTTGGATAAAGATGAAGACACACTTTAAGTAGTATTTGGATTAGTTTGGTATTTTGAGTCAAAGTATTAGCCATTTGCAAATATGCTTAACTAATTTTTAAAAGATTTTGTTTTCTGTGTATATAAACAGTCACCATGACTAAATGGTTAACATGATTAAAATGGTTAAAGTATATTTGCTTTTATAACACTGACTGGATTGGTTTCCCATGCTGCCAACATTTTACCATATCATCGTAGATGTTTTTTAATAAATTAGAATATAGTTTTTCTGAACTTTCTATTAAATTTTTGTTTGCTAAGTATAGTTTCTTGAGGTTTTACTGTTTTTTCTTTTGCATCTTTCTAATAGACCAAATTGTATTCTATGACTAAATAATATTGAGCCTCTTAAAATCATCTGTATTCACTAAAATGACCAGCCATCTCAATTTGCCCTGGACTTTGGGCATTACCCAGATGAAGGAGTTTTGGCTTTAAACCATTGACTCTACTTAAGCCTGACTAACTGTCTGAAATAAACTGAATTTTGGAAGCTATTTTCAATATACTAGGTATTGCTTTAAAAGAGTTTTATCCATTTTCATTTGCTCTTTTACTGTAACATATTGCTGTGGTGATATGAATTGTCTTTAAAGAGAATAATTTCAAAGTATCATTTCTTCACTTCCAAGAAGAAAGTATTTAATATTCATGGTTTAATTCTTTTTTTACAGGTATGTTGAGTCGATGGGATGATAGTCAGAGATTTTTGTCTGACCATCCATACCTTGTATGTGAAGAAACTGCTAAATATCTTATTTTATGGTGTTTTCACCTGGAAGCTGAACAGGTATCGTGTGAACCCTTGAACTTCTGGGAACTTTAGTGGAATTCTGATTTTCTTTTTTGGTTGGTTTGTATTTTATATTACTTTAAATGAAAACAGGGAGGTAATTAAATAGAACTACAAGGTTTTTTTTGTTTGTTTGTTTTCAGATCTACTTGAGTTTACTGTGGGAATATTTTTTTAGTTGTTTCAGTTAGCATATGGAAACTTTTTTCTAATGTGCTTTCCCTGTTCCCCCATCTCTCTTGTTCCATATACTATAAACCTTGTTCTTTTTTAACCTATTAGAAAATCATGTTTTCAAAATCAAAATAGTAATCACAATATTAAATATATTTCCAGAGGTATTTCTTATAATTTTAACCTATTTATTTTCAGAAAGGGGCTTTAATGGAACAAATAGCACATCAAGCTGTTGTAATGCAATTTATTATGGAAATGGCCAAAAACTGTAATGTGGATCCAAGAGGATGTTTTCGTTTATTTTTCCAGAAAGCCAAAGTAAGTAGCTATTTGGTATTGTTAAATAGGAGAGGTTATGCCTTAGCTGAGACCTCTTTGTTCCATCCACATCAAAGAAAGCCATTCAACCAGGATGCCACAGGCTAAATTCTGTAGATTTTATAGTGGAAAGAAAAATCATATTGCTGATTTCATGCTAATTTAGACATAAGGAAGCTATATATGTGAAATTGAGACTCATTCAAATAAATGTATGTATTTAGGAAAATTAGATTTTCCATGATTTAGTCATTCGATAAATACTGAGTACCTACTAATGAATACACAGCAATTTAAGATGGCTGAAGATAGGGGCAGCCAGTTAGTTCAGGTAGTTAGAGTGCAGTGTATAACACCAAGGTTGCCGGTTCAATTTCCACATGGGCCATGGAGCTGTGCCCTCCACAACTAGATTGAAGACAGCTTCTTGACTTGGAGCTGATGGGTCTGGAAAAACATGCTGTTCCCCAATAAAATCCTTTAAAAAAGAAAAAAAAGATGCTAAGGATAATTATTATAATATTGTATGTCAACTGGAACTAGAAAATTAAAAAAGATGTAGGTAAATCATTTGAAAATAATAAAAGGTACTAGTAGCACACACATTAAAAGATGCTGAGGATACAGTGTTGAATGAAACAGATGCAGTATCTTCCATGTATAGAACTCATAGTTTAGTGAAAAATCAGACTTTTGTAATGAAAAAACAGGAAACAACATAAGAAATTCAATGAGGAATGCTTTTTTTTAAAAAAATATTTTATTGGGGAATTGGGGGAGGGGAACAGCCAAGTTGTTGTCCTTCAGTCTTAGTTGTGGAGGATGCAGCAAGTTCAGCTCCAAGTCCAGTCGCGCCACTGAGCTCAAGGGGCTGTGTTCAATTAGTTGCAGGTGGGCGTAGCCACCATCCCATGTGGGAGTCAACCAGAAGCCTTGTTAAGAGCGCACGCTCTATCCCCTGAGCCACCTAGGCAGCTGCTCAGCTCAAGGTGCTGAGTTCAGTCTTTAGTTGCGGGCGGGCATAGGCCACCATCTCAAACAGGCAACTTTGTTGTTAGGAGCATGTGCTGTCACCGGCAGAGCCACCCTGCCACCTGTTGTCAACTCAGCAGCAGCTCAGCTCGGACCCAGCTCACTGGCCCATGTGGGAATTGAACTGGAGACCCTGTTGCTCAGAGCTTGCACTCTTAAGCAAGCTCTTAATCAACTGAGCCACTCGGCCGGCCTGAGGAATGCTTGAAAAATAAAAATAAAAAACCTGTGATACATAGAATATTATGCAGCCATTAAAATTATATTTTGAGGGGCCAGCTGAGTGGCTCAGTTGGTTAAGAGTTGGCTTAAGAGCACCAGCTCTGAGCAACAGGGCCACCGGTTCGATTCCCACATGGGCCAGTGATGCTGCGCCCAAGCTGAGCTGTTGCTGAGCGCCAACAGGTGGCAGGATGGCTCAGCTGGTATAACAACAAGATTGCCTGTTCAATGGTGGCTATGCCCAACCTCAACTAAGACTGAACTTGGCACCCTGAGCTGAGCTGCCACCTGGATGGCTCAGTGGATACAGCATGCGCTCTTAACAACAAGGCTGCTGGTTTGACTCCCACATGGGATGATGGCTACGCCCATCCGCAACTAAGATTGAACACAGCACCTTGAGGTTAGAGGCCATGAGCTGCTGACAGGAAGCCAGATGGCAACTGGCACCCTGCACAACTAAGATTGAAGACCAACAACTTGGCTGGTCCCCTTCCCCAATTCTCCAACACTGTTCCCCTCCCCCAATTCCCCAATAAAATCTTTTTAAAAAAATTATATTTTGAAGAATTTTTAATAATCTGAGATAATGCTTTGCTATAGTCAGAAGAAGTGATATACATATTTATATATATACAGGATGATATTGGCCATGTTAAAGAAAAATAAGTATGTCTAGAAAGATTAAATACCATTTCACACACACTAAATTACTAATAATTTAAAAGTTGTACAAGAAGTAGAGCGATAAGAACTCAGATTCATTGCCTGTGGGAGTATAAATGGTTACAACCACTTTGGAAAATTTCCTTGCAAAGTTGAACAAGTGCCAGCACCCAAAAATTCTCCTAGGGATATATCCTAGAGAATAGATTTCTCAACATGTGATCCAGGAACACTTGAGGATCTGGAGGACCCTTTTAGGGGGCCCTGAGTCAAAACTATTTTCATAATATTTATACTAAGATGTTATTTGCCATGTTCACTCTTAATCTCTCATGAGTGTGCATTAGAAATTGATAGACAAGCAGATGTGTGAATCCAGCTATCTTCTATCAAGCTAGACTTCTCTCTAAATCTTTTTGCTTTGGAAATACAGTGTGTTTTTTTTTAATAAAAATATATAAATGTTAACCTATAATGAGCTTGTTATTGTTAGGTTTTAGTTAATATTTTTAAATTTTCTCAGTTTCTTGTAACATAGTAAATATTAACAGATGTAACCCACATAAACAGGAGCTCCTTAGATTCCTCAGTAATTTTCAAGAGGGTGAAGGAGTCCTGAGAACATAAAGTTTGAGAATGGTTGCTGCAAAGGAACTCTTATAGATGTGCACTCGATACCATAATGTTCTAGTAGAATTGTTCATAACAGCAAAAAGCCTGGGAACAACCCAAATGTCTTTTAACAGCAGAATGAATAAATTGTGGTATATTCATTTAGTAAAATACTAACCAGCATCAGCATGGATTAAAAAAAACAAGAGTGAATAAAACAAGTTACAGAATGATATATCAAATACCATTTTAAAAATATTTTATGTCTTTTATAAAGTTCAAAAACAAGCAGAACTAAATATATTCTTGAAGGCTACATATATAAGCAGTAAAACTAAAAAGGCAAAGGAGTAATTAAGACAAAAGACATGATAATTGTAAGCTCAGAGGGAATGCTCTCGGGAACTGATTTCTAAGGTACTAGTGTATAAACTACACATACGTTTTACATGCTCTTGCATATATGATATGATACATTTTAGTATACACAGAAGCAAGAAGGAAATATACCAAAAGTTTAACTTTGATTATTTTTAGATGGTGGAATTATAACTGATACCCATTTTTTTTCTTATACTACAATAAATATACTTCCTTTTATAACTAAAGTAAAACATTATATTTTTAAATTAAAAAATACATATCAGGGCCGGCTGAGTGGCTCAGTTGGTTAAGAGCTCGCTCAAGAGTTTGAGCTCTGAGCAACAGCGGTTCGAGTCCCGGCCCGAACAGAGCAGCTGTTGAGCTGCCAAAAGGTGGCAGGATGGCTCAGTTAAAAAAAAAAAATACATATCATTGTTATAGAAGTCCTACCTTAAATGCTGTAAACTCTTCTAAAGTATAACCTAAATAGAAAATTTTTCCAAAACACTAAAGTCTTAATGAATTAATGATTGAGTTGGTATTGTAGCTAAGCTTCTGGTGACTATTGTAAATTTTCACTTAACAGATAAGCATAAAAAATAATCATACTTTCTTTTTCATTTTACATTAATGGATATTTTTGAACTAGTGTTTAAAAGGATAATGGAACATGAACTATATACTTTGAAATTTATTTTGACAAAATTGAACTGAAAGGCACTGAGGTCTTTAGAGCTTAACATTGTGTTCATAATAATTTTTTCTTTAATTACAGAATAACTTTTATGGGTGCTTGGTTTTTGCCAGGTACTGTTCTAAGCACTTAACATGGATTAACTCATTAAATCCTCATAACATTTTATGAGGATTATTATTTCTGCTTTACAAGTGAGGAAATTAGCAGAGAGAAATTAAGCAAGTGACTGACCCATGGGTTACTTAATAAAATAGAAATTAGCCCAGTCTCTCTAGATCTAAATCCCTAGGCCTTAGGCATGCAATAAGATCAACAGTTATGCCACTTGATTCCTTGTTGCATAACCATTTCAGAAGGATTACTTTTGGTTATGAAGGCTAATATTCCATATGTCCACACGAGTACCATATATTCACCAAAGTGAAATGCTATAATATATTTAAGGAAATGATTCTAAACTCATAAAAAGACAGAATGGCAGCATAGAATATTGTCTGCATTATTTGTATAGTTACTGATGCTAATAACTAATCCACAAATTTTAATCTGGTTTCACAACCTAAAGTACATTAAAAGAAAAAATAACATTGCTGACAAATGGGCCCAGGAATTAGACTTTTGACAAACTCTTCCACCACTTGAACTTAAAGCCTGTGTTCTGTTGATGTAGGGCATACACTGTGTCATTCTTTATCTGCAAAGGAAACATTTGTAAATATGGAGGCTACTGCCAATAGGGTGATTTGTATCAGGAATTTTGCTTATACATTATTAGAGGGAGTTCCCCTTCCTCACATAACTCATCATACATTTTTCTTTCCATTATGTTGAAAATAAGGTACTTGCTTAACTAAAACACTAAGATATTTCCATAATGAAGTTGAAAGTTGAGTTCTATTTGGTTTTCATGGCTTTTACAGATAGGGAGCACACAGAGAATTACTGGAAACAGGTAATAGGGTCCCCTCACTAATTGGTGGAAAAGTATAAGGTTTTAAGACTATCCCTTGGTTTTTGACTGGCAATGAGAAGAGAAGAATGTGAGGACTATCTTGGGTCCTGTTGAGAATCCAGATAAATCATGAAAAATACAGAAAAAGCCTACCGTATTTGCCGGCATATTAGACGATTTTTTTGGCCCTGAAAAATATGCCTCCAAGTGGGGGGTCGTCTTATACGCCAGGTACACTTCAGATAGACTGCCCATAGTGCTTGCCCCGTGCCATAGTGGCCTCCCGATGCCCGCCCACTTCATTCCACATACCGTTCAGGCATCAGCAGCGCTGCTGGGTGTATGGTCGGCTGTGTGCGATTTTGCGAGTGTGGTAAATTCGGGTTACCGTATATTTCTTTACATATGCATTGAAGATTCGCGATTTTGCGCTATCATGGTGCCTGTTAGAATGTTGAAGAGCTCGCACTTGTGCACTAGTGAGGTCCCAGGGAGATGCTGATGCAAGGGTGGACCAGACTGCTATAGTGACAGGGCGGGCAAACAGGGAGCAGGGACCAATCAAATCAGGCTTTGTATACAGCCAACAGCCAACCACAATACTGCACCATTGTACAGTACAGCATAGAAAATGTCGACCAGTCAAACCCCTATCATCCCTATCATGGCACCGGCCAAAAGAAAGAAGTATGATGCAAATTTTAAACTGAAAGTTATAAACTTTGCTAAGGAAAATAATAATTGTGCTGCTGCAAGACAATATGGAGTAACAGAAAAGATGGTTCGGGACTGGAAATCAAATGAGAAAGCATTAAAGAGTATGCCAAGGGGTAAGTGTGCATTAAGAAGAGGCACCCCACACTGGCCAGAACTCGAAAAACATGTAGCAGACATGGTGGCTCAACATCGCCAAAACGGTTATGTGGTGACACGAAATACAATATGCTTGTTTGCACTTCAGTGGGCCAAATCAAATCTGATATTGTTTTACCTTTTATTTGGTGTGTGGAAGGTGTGCGGAAGAGGGGGTAGTCTTATACGGCGAGTATATAACAAACTCTGTATTTTGAGTGGAAATGTTAGGGGGTCGTCTTATACGCCCAGTCGTCTTATACGCCGGCAAATACGGTACTTTCTTTTGTTATATGTGTGTGTGTGTGTGTGTGTGTGTGTGTGTGTGTGTTTGTGTTTACAGAGGGCTTGTTTCTTATTAGTTTATTTTGCTGAAGCAGAGGGAAGTGAAACAAACCAATCATTACTCTTCCTATAAAACAGGAAGTTTTCGCAAATCTAATGGGGATCTTCATGGTGTCTGCATTCAAATTTTTCACCTCATCTTTACTTTCTCTACTTTAGACCTGATATATGCTTTTTAGAATTTACTGTGTGGTCTGAAAGTCTTGGAAAACACAATCTTTGCATTTTGTGTTTTCTAGGCTGAGGAAGAAGGTTATTTTGAAGCATTCAAAAATGAACTTGAAGCTTTCAAATCAAGAGTCAGACTTTATTCTCAGTCACCAAGTTTTCAACCTATGACAGTTCAGAATCATGTTCCCCATTCTGGTGTTGGATCTATAGGGTTATTAGAATCGTTACCACAAGTAAGTTGGAAAAGTAAATATGCTATAAATGTATTAGTTCACGTAATTTTTGTTCTTTTGGACTATTTTCTTATATCTAATATATGTGTGTCCATTTTAATATTCTTGCCTCAGAAGATAACTCTTGAGTTTCATTTCATACCATGTTTTGGCACTAAATCTCTTTTATCTCTTAGGTAGGTAGAGAGACACCGAAGTCCACTCCTTTAAATATAGAAGAGAAGAGTTCTACCTAAGCATTCTTAAGGGCAAGGGTTACCTACTGATCATCTCAATCATAAACTTCTCAAGATGGCTCTGAGGAACCTTTCATTCTGAGTAGAACTATACTATTTAAGAATTTATTAAAGTGAATTAGCTTCAAAGCATAGGTCCAAGTGGCAATCAAGGTGATCTGTTGCATGAGTTTATTTAGCCTACCAGATGTAACTTTTTTAGTCCACATTCATGTAGCTTATGCCAAGCTGCTCTTCCTAGTAATACTGGCCTACTGTGTGAACCTCTTCAAAGTTTACTGTTAGATCAAGATAAAACCATGTCACTAACATGAAAGAATCTATGTCAAAAAGAAGAGGAAGTTAGACCACTGGTCTACCTGATACTACTTAGGATTATGATTTTAAGTTATCATTAGAAAGTTGCTGCCCATTTTGATTTTAGTAGCATTTTAATTGAGCCCAGTCATCTCTCATTTCCAGGCCCCAAGGTTTTAAGACCAGCTTTAGCCTAAAGTTTGGTCTGTTGCCTACACCGTGAAAATGGAAGTCTCATTCAGAAGACAACGTGAGGAGAGCCCTGTGTTTATTTTTAAATCTCACTAAGTAGGAATTGAGATTTTCAATATCTTGACTTTATGTCTCTATAATTTCACCATTTCAGTTATATACGTTGTAGGGCAGTGTAGGCCAAAGGGACAACTTAAGGAAAGCAACTGGTCATATTCAGCTCAGCCAAAAATAATAATTCTCATGGATGGAAATAATCAAGGTCTGATTTTTAAATAATTAGTCATGCTACTCCATAGTTAGACATGTAAGTAATATTCTCCCTCAATTTGTCCTGTACCTTATCTCTTAATGCTGTTTAAATACAGTGGTGATTTTCTCTTAAGTTCCTTGAGAAATAGCACACAGGGAACTAGTCTTTCCAAGGGAATTTTACAACAAAAGCATTGTCAAGTCCAATGTATAAACCTGCCAAAATTAAGATGTCACATAATGAATGCAAAGGAAAAAAGAAACTTGAAGGATGTCATTGATTCTAAACATAAGAGGAAAAAGAGAAACACATTAAAAATCTCATAGGATATTATCAAAAAGTTGCTTCTGGTTTGAGAGAAGTAAATTCTTGTTCTACGCTATCAGATAGCAACTGAGATCTGCTGCTAGGGATCCCTTGCAGTCATTTTAATGGAGGGCCTGGGATTGTACAATGTGGACACTTTTGAGTTGCTGATATTACTAGGGTTGTTCTGACTTATTTCATCTGGGCTAACAGACCAAGTCCTCATTTTGGGATAAGAATATACTAGCCTAATCCTCCTGAGGGAGAGAAGAGATGAATAAGATTTCAGCTAGATGAGAGGAACTACTTGTCAACTGAGAGGAGATTTGGAAGAAAAGCTTACTATAATAATAATATCCCATTATTATCAAATCAGTTATGGATTGCAAAACACTGTTACATGTATCATTTAATCTTCTCAAATACCCTGTGATTCATTTTCATTCATATTATGGATGAATAAACTAAAGCTCATGGAAGTTGTTTAGTGATTTGCCTGACGTCAATACAATGAATGATGGAGCTGATAGTCTAATCTTGTGTTTCTATCCTACTTCACTGCTCATGAATTTATACCATAGACTTTTGTTGAATCATATATACAAAAAAATAGAACAAGGACATTCAGTCATGTGCTCTTGGGATGAACTGGTCAATGGAACAAGAAATGTGTTGCAAATGTTATTAGATGAGAATATGGTGTGATCAGTGGAATTTAAGTATAGATATGGTTAGGTAATATTGATTGCTTTTTGTTTTTTTAAGTCTCTTCATAATGACATCTTACAGTTCCTAGGGAGATGGATTAGATGAGTTCTGGAGAATCTCCTTAGCCAACTCTAATACTCTAAATTCTGTCATGGAAAACTGGAGCCTAGTCTCAAGAGGCTTTTGTTCTGAGGGCCTTTGGAATTGGGCCTGGATTGTCAGAAAATGTCTTAGTACTCTTTGGGGAATGGGATAATGTGATGAGAGCATTAATAATTTTTTATAAAACTTAAACTTGGGTAACAATGTAGCTTTTAATTTCTTTCTTTAATTGACAACAATCTTGTAAAATAAGCCAAATGCCATTATCCTTAGTTTTGAGAGAACTAAACCAAGGCTTCTTGGATAGAGACATAACATAAGTAATAATTACCGTAGTTTATCCTATAGACTAGTTTTTAATTCTATTAAGTTGTGATAAATTATTTTCTCTTTGAAGATTGCATTATACTAAGTGGTAGAGGCAGGATTAGAGCTGAGGTCCATGTTATTTTAGTGTCCCAGACCTCAGTCAGTTATTTGTGCCACTTCCTTCTTAAAGACCTGATTGGGAATAATCCAACTTGTGGCTAGCTTTTTTACTTTTACAATAAAAGAATCACAAAATATTGTACTTTAGAGGATCTTTTGAAAACATTGCCTCCCTATGGGATGGGAGGTTTAAGACATCTATCCCCAGTTTGGACTATTTTCCTCATTGGTGTTTATTAAATAAACAAATGAAACTAGGTGATACAGTAGTAAAACTCTAAGTAGCTAGCACATATTCAGAACTACTTAGTAGACAAATTGAATTTTGGGGTAAGACTTTCCTGAAGTCCTAGGTTGTAAGGGCTTATGTCCCTATTCATGGTGCTTTAAATAATGTTTTTATTTTTACATTTATTGAATAAGGTTTCCTGTTCCTGGTTTCAGAAATGGACAAATGGAACATTTATGAGTTCTTTGGTTTTAAACATAAACAAAACCTAAATTAAACTGTTCTTTTATTCTCAATTTTTTTTAATATGGGTCTGAGTACCTCTCAAAAGATAACAGTTTCTCACTTGATTTTGTTTTAGCCTTTGAGAAACCAAAATGAACTCTGAAGATAGCTGTAATTTTTACTCAGTATATAGACTTTTTTCCTTATTCAGGTGTTTTGCATTTTTAGTATTTACTGTTGGAAGCATTTCTGGCTTAAAGCAATGTTTATGTTTTAAATTTTCAATAACTGTACATAAAATCACATGGAAGATCTAGCTTTGTATGATTAAATAATTAAAATTATATAATTTTGTTAAAAGGAGCAAAAAGCTAGTGTTAATTACATTTTTATTTTTCACATACATCATTCTGTCTTAATCACATCTCTTTGGATTAAGTGGTAATAGTCTATTTTTCTCTTTCTTTTCTTCTTGGGTTTCAACCCAAGTCCAATTTTAAAGTCCATCTTCTTTCCTACTCTACTATACTGCAGAGAAATAGAGAATGTGAAACTGATATGTAGTTGCATATACTGGCATAAAACTGGTTATCATTCTTTCTTCCCTATACTTTTGTTTTCCAGAATCCAGATTATCTTCAGTATTCTATCAATACAGCTCTTTGCAGTTTAAACTCAGTGGTACATAAAGAAGACGATGAACCCAAAATGATGGATACTGTATAATTTGGTTAAGACTGCTGAGGCCAAGTGCTATTTTGTTACAAGAAAGGAAGAACTTGGCTATTTTCTTGACACTTTTATGGGTGCTGCACTTTATTTTTGTTCGGTTTTTGATGGGAGGGGAAAAAAGAGTACTGAAACATTTTGTAAATTTTTTTTTTAATGTGCTGCTAGGTTTTTGTTTTTTTTTTTTCTGAAGAGAGGAGTGGTACCATATGTTGCAAGAAGTCAAACTGGACTTTTTTTTTGCTACTAAATTTGCCTTTAATCTTATTGTTCTCAATTTTGGAATCAAAGTATGAAAATCTGCACAAATGCAATGTTTACAAGAACTGGTTGATTCTAGGAGGCATCTGCTATAGTCTCTTTTTATATGGATATGTACATGTCCTACTCTACAAAAACGATTAAAGATAAAAATGTACTTGTATCCACTGCTAATTTAGCTGTCAAATCTGGTGTTTCATCATATTAAAAGCAATAAATCAGTAGTTGATAATCTACTTTACTAAATAAGCTGGGTGATACATATTAAAACAAAGTCTTCCCCCTTAAAATAATTCTACATTTGTATTTTGGCACCATCAGTTAAATCCTTGACTATAATATCTATATATACACTAAATTAAGTATTCACTTTTTTTTTTCAATTACCCCATAAGTAGTCTCAAAACTATATTCGTTATAAGTTCATTTTACCCAATTGACTTTTTAATATTTAGGGTTACAGTGATTTAAAAAGTGATAAAGCTAATACAGATTTTTTTTTTTTTAATAAGATCATTTTCAAGCTCACTCCTACTTTCTTTACTTGACATAGTCTGGGATCTCTCAGGGAGCAAGTTTAAAAGAATACTAACAGTCTGTAAGAACAAACAGGAAGAAGAATCTGATTTTTAAATTACAGTTATTTTTGTTTCACTCTGATGTAAGCTAAGGGCTTTTTAAAATAGTATTGTAGCGCTAACTGCCTCAAGCTGCCAACTACTTATTTCTAAGAATTTAGTGATCGTTATTGGTAATGATGGTTTTTACTGCATTTGTCGTTACTCTCTATAGCTCAGTTACCATAGAATGCTTCTGAACTTTACTACTTCAAATTTGCCAGGATATTTGATGATTCATTTTATTTGGAATTAGATGACAGTACTAATTATGCTATCCTTATTATTTGAGGATTAATCTTTTAAGAACATGCGCTTTGTATTGGGTATAGCCTTTGGTTCAGTCCTGTTGAGACTAGTAGCAAACATTTGGAAGATGGCTAACCATGATTAGGAATACATGCCTGAACTTGAGAAACCAAATATTTCTAAAGGACCCATATGGTGATCAAACCTGTGACCGTAGCCTCATTTGCACCTTGTTTTAACTAACTGAGGTGACAAGTCACCCAGTACCCATAGAAATGGACTGGAATTATTGAATCATACTTATGTAACATCACAATCTTCTGGTTTTCAGAATAAAACTCTTTTGTGCTTTTCATATAAAGATATACTCTATATATAATAAAATGTTTGACTAATTTATATAGTAGTATTCATCAGCCTGTAATTTTTTTTTTAACCAAAGTTATAGAAGTTTTTTTCTCTTTATTTCTGTTCTGGAGTTGCTCTTATTTTTCCCTTCCTATCAAATAGAGAATGGACACAGTAAAATCCTAAGTTTCACAGAAATGTTACTTGAACCATTACTTTCCATTCCTCAATTTCACTTTTCCCCAGGATTTGCCTATAATGGTTTTGAATTTCATTTTGCCTTTAAGTTAGAGGTAATAATGACTAGATTGGAAGGAGAGTCATTATCAACAAACTGAGCAAACTATTCCTGAAGAGATTTTTTTTGTTTTCTAAAACATTATTGAAGAGCTATTTAAAAGTTGGCTATATATTTTACTTTCAAAGAGAAGTATTCTGTTTTTAATGTAAAAGGGTGATTGAATTTATTTTGGGAACCACTAACTGATGCCATAATTTACATTAAAAGACTAATTTTTACATATTTAGCAGTACTTTAGTATTAAGAACAGTAAATTGACATCCTTTTTATTTCTCTTTATTTTGCTTTGAACTAAGAACACCTGATTAAAAGAAATGTCCTCTTTTCTGTTTCTTAAGAAATAATGAATATACTAAGCAAAGGGTAATTCATATTTCAGGTTGGACAGTTTTCTCTCTAGACAAATTATACAAACCATGGAAAGTCCAAATAGATGAATGAAACATCTCTGACGTCAAAGTATCCATAAAGGATTCTTGTTTCATTTGATAAAATTAATATTCTATTAAAAGATTTAATAAAAAAATAGCTATTCATTCCATTTATTCCCTGTTAACTGTCATTTTATCAATGGTAGTAGAAATAATGCTGATTTAAAATTATTCTCTAAGAGAGAAGATGGCTAACATTTTCATCAAATTATTCTATAGTGGGCCCTTAAATTTTGCCAGATCAGCTTATAATCTCCTAACTTTTTTAGGAAAATTGGGTCTTCCAGGTTAGCATTGCTATTACCCTTTTAAAGGTGAATTAACATGCTACCCAAAGAACATGAATCTAATGAGTAGATTTTCTTACAGAATAAAAAAATTGTGGGTTTAGACAAAGTTATCCTGAAGTTAACCTTGGGGTATTTTTCAGAGAAAAATAAAAAGATGTCAATTGACTGTTCTCAAAGTCAGTCATGTATTTCAGTTCTTAAACCTATGTGGGATACAAAATATACTTGTCTGGGTTGAGGTCAGGCTTTTTATTTCAGTTTTAATAAGTTCCTAAAATTCTATGCATCTGTTTCCATCTGTAACAGACATGATGTACTGTTTCACAGGTCTAAGAAGCTGATTCATCTAGTGAGTATTTGCTTGCTTACTATGTAAGCTAAAGGGAGCGGAGGATACAAAGATGAATAAAAGTTGACTATGAACTGCTTACCATCTGATAAGTCAAAACCACTCTCATAAGCCTTAAAGAATTAAACTTGGAAGTTTGATCTTTTCTAAATATAAAAAGATGATTCTTTATGCTATTTCCTTTTCAAACACTTTTAGAATCCTTTGGTAAAATATGACCACCAGATTGATTTACACTTGGTAAAATTCTTCCAAAGTGCAATCATAACTTTACTCAGTGCTATACATATAGAAAAACAACTGTTAGTGAGCTAAAAAAAAAAAAAAGGTAAAGTGGGGTATGAACTCTACAAAGCACATTGGCTTTTACCAGAAGCTTTAAGCACAGCTAGACTATTTTGACTGTGTTCTAAAAATTTTTAATTGTATCTTCCAAAATCACAATCTTGGATTACCAGTGTCTGAGAATATTTTCTTGTCAATGAGAAGACACAACTTATAAACATGTTTTAAAATACAAATTTATTTTTGCTGTTGGTTGCAAGTATTACAACAATTTAATGTGAAGTCTGTAATTACCATGATTTGTTAATTAACATAGGTAAGTTCTGTAACAAACTTGAGTATCCAAAATATTTTACTTTGTTGGAATGCCATTATAAATAGCTGGTAGGAAAGTAGCTATGGGGTTGGGGTTTAGAAATTTGAGACAGTGTTTAACCTATTTCAAATGGAATTGAGAAATAAAATTTCTGGATGGTACTGCCAATTTCCATTTCTCACACCTCTGCTTATGAAGGGTGTGCCAAAATATGGTACTCCAGAAAGTAGGGTAATAGATTAAAGTACTGTCCTCATTAACCTTCAAGGCATAGTAGCTTCTAGCCGTGGCATTCAGCTCCATTCCTACTTCCATGTGGCACGTAAATCATAGTGGTAGGCAGTACAGCATTATGGGTTTTTTTTAGCAGGATGTGTTTCCTCAGTTATGATAATCATCAGAACTGTCTATGACATTAATTCTGCATAAAACAAGTTCTTCTTGTTTGCTTTAATTAAAAACAAAAGTAATAGTGCAGGCGTTTCCCAAAGTAATGGAGGTATGTGCAAAACTTTGGATTGTTTTGTGAGTGAGGAGGGAATGGTCACAGGGAAGAGACTTAAATTTCACAGCCATGTTCTACCCATTTGTGATTTCCATGTCTTCTAAGTGTCAAGAAGGCCAGTGTGGCTGTAATACTATAGCACGAGATAAAAGTGTAGCATAAAATGAAACCAGTCTGTGTACTGTTACTGTTTTAATTCAGATATCAGTCAGTCATCAGGGCAGCAGAATGGAAGGTGACATGGAGTGATCCTTTTGAACTACCAAAGACAAACTGATATGTACAGTTCTAAAATTGCACTGTATTATAATACCTTAATACTAATGTATGCCTGATAACCTAGTGATAATTCATAAGTTTAGTAGTTCACAACATTTTTAGAAAGCACATAATATTAACATTCAAATAAGGCATTATAGAAAGTTGTAAAGAATGTAATGTTTACTGTAAACCTTTTTTAAAAGCCTTGGTCCATTTTGAAAGCTCAACATTGAATTTTTAAAAATCAAAAAAAAAAGGAAAATAAGTTTTTTTCCGGCAAAATACATACCAGTCACTTCTTGGCATTTGTATTTTTAAGTGCCTAGAATAAAACGGGCCAGATTTTCAAAGGCAGTTAATAACACCTTTTACAAGGACTTGTTTCATTTGATTTTGCACCAAGTAGAGTAAATATGCCATTGAAGATGCAGTCAGGTTTCTCCACTTATAGTGCCCCACTTTGTACCAGGCCACAGTACATAAGCATGCATCCCACTAAGGAATCAAATCATTTTGATTTTAAAATGGCTGCTCAGGTTACATTCACCAACAAGAGTTCTTTACCCTTAAGATAGGATAGCAGTGAATGCTAGCAGGTGTAAACTTCTTTGATTAGGAATAAACTCCTTCAGTAAACTCAGTTTGTTTCCGGGTCCTTTTTAACCTGTCATAGAAATCCTCTTCATTGCCATACCTGTTTACTAATTATGATTGTTATATTTGTCAAGGGAATTTTCCCCAGGCAAACCTGATCTAGTTCTATTTCCTAATGACAAAGTGTGTTTACTTTACCGAGTGCCATGGATTTTCTTTTATTCTCTCTCTGTGTGTGGGTACTTGAATATGTTACTCATCAAGGCAGATCATACATTTTGATCAAAAAGAGAAACTGACAAGTAGATCCTAATGCATATCTCTTAACCTGAGTAACGTCTGAAAACATAGGTCTTTACATTTTCCTTTGAAAATACAACTTTGGTGCTTTTGCAAGAACTTATAATTTCTAACATAAATCATATCCCTCAGTACACATGTATTTTCAAAAGAAAACAAATCATGGGAAATTAATGCTTTCCTATATGCTAATTGATATATTTTTATGGCAAATTGAAGATTCTGAGTAACCTGAAGGTAAGTTAACAACAAAATAAATATATATGGCTATCTTAGAAATTTCTTAGTATAGAGGCAGCAGTGTATTTGCATTCTCAAACTAATCTTTATATCCAGTTGCTTTTCTTCTGGAATTTTACAGACACAGAGTCACAAAACTGTATCACAGTGGTAAAGATTTTTTTTTTGGCATCAGTCTAAGCAAAATCCTTTGATAAGATACTTTTCCCAAATGACATGGAATTGTTTTATGCTTTTCCAGAAAAACAAGGAAACTGTATCAACCACTTACTCTTCTGAACAAAAGTTAGATTACTATTAATTGGCCTTTTAATTATGCTCTAAATGATTTTTCAAAAGTTTCATTAGATATGATATTTTTAAATTGTACACCCACAGAAAGATAACTGGATAAAACATACTAGATGATTTTGAAAGATGAATCAGTATCTGACTCATTTGGCACATCCTTAATTTCCAGAATAAAATCAGTAGAAATGAAACGAATAAAATTTTCAAAGAATTCATACAATTCAGTCTTAGGACCTGGAGCTTCTAAATGAGGACCTTCTGCTCATCTTACTGGTCACACGCACTTCTCATGGAGTAACGGATGCTTTCTGGTTTACTTGTGGAATTTTGGTTTGCAGGAAAGCATATACATAGGGCCAGATCTTGTTGGTTTCTGTTCCAGAGAATGTTTCCAACACCCCTTTTTTCCTAAAGGTGACAAAACAAAAAACACAGGTCTGAGTCTTCCTAATACACTTTTTCAACGTGATTCTTCAAAGTTGATAATGTGGACTTCGAAGCCTCAGTTCAGTACAGATCTGTGTGATCAAAGAGAAGAGCACTTGGCTGGGCATTGGAAAGCCTAGGTTTTGGTTTTGGTTGTGCCCTCTGGGTTACCGAATGGTAACTTAAAAATTAATAGCAACTCTCACTTATTGAACACGTGCTAAGTGCTTTACATATAATAGTTTATTTAATCCTTTCTAAAGTTCAAGTTTCCTTATTTTACTGACAAAACTGTGTGTTAGAGATGGAAAGAAACAGCCCAAACAACTCAAGTTTCCAAACACAGGGCCTGCCCGATGCCCTGACACCTCTTGGCTTTCTTTGTCTACTACCCATTTGCAAAACAGCTTTCTCACACTTGATTGTGCTTCCTTCTTTTCACCTTGGTTTATTTTTTCCCTCTGTGCTACTCTTCTGAATTTTAGGGGAAAGGGGAATAAAAGGTATTGTTTTTATTGGGTTTCCTATTGTGTTTCTCCATTTCTCCCCAGGAAGATTTGTCTGACTTGTCACCAGACTAGCAGCCAAAGTCTATTTACCCGGTTTTCTGGGGGTACGATGGAAAGGAGAATCAGAATTCTGGAGTTGCTTTCCAAACACGGATTCCCTCCACAGATTCTGGTATTCCTCTCGTTTACCTTCCTCTTCCAACCCATTCATAGACCTTGGCTTCACTGCTGCATAAGAGCAACTGAGGATTTCTGGTTTAGTCTTTCTAACAGGATCCATCATACCTGCAACATTTTCACTAGATTTTCAGAATTTTCACTGGGGACACAAGCATTCCTTTCTTGATACCTCAGAAAATTTGCTACAATTAAGACTTCTAACTTAAATAATTCCCACTGTTTCCTTGGTAAGAAGCGTCTCCTAAGGAGAGACATTATGCAAATACAGTATTCTCTGCATATTAGAAGCCCTCCTGCTTCTAAACTCATGGGCATCTTGTAAAGCTTTCAAGGGAAAAAGCTTAACAGCTGTAAGCCTCTAGAAGAGCCACTTTAAAATCAAGCCAATGTCACGAGTGGGTTAATTACTGAGGGCACAACTACAGGCATTATTCAATCCTTAAGCTGTACCCTGGGCGAACATTTGTCATTTTAACTTCTGTGTAATAAAATGAACCAGCTTCAGCTATTGATCCTCTAAAAAGCAAGAGCATCACTTTGTTTGTAAACACAGACCTAATTATTCTATAACTGTCCCACAGCTGCAAGAGTTTTAAAGACAACAAAACAACTGTCAATATTTTAAAATAACAATGCTGACTATCACTAAGGTTATTGCAAATACCACTTAGAATTTTTTATGAAGTCCAGCCCTAGCTCTATGTGTAGGAGTTTGGAAGGAAAAGCTTCAAACAATGGCCAAGAGGTAGCAAAAACCGGAAGCCAAGAAAGACTAGGGTATCTATCTCCTAAGATAGGGACCCGGGTCATACGCTCCATCTCTGTGCCTTCCCTGACTTCCCTTCCTGTAGTCTGACAGAATTAATCCCTGCTTTGCAGTGTTGTTATCCCAACAATGTGTTTTCCCTTCTTCTGGTTGTTTTTGAGTGAATAACAAGTCCCTTTTGGAGGGGAAACTGGGTCCATGAGATTCAGGTGGGACTGTCCCCACTTCCCAGCTTCAAGGATGAGCTAATCAGTGCCACTGATTGAACACCTGAACCCAGCATCCATCCACCTTTGGACATTTTTGTTACATGACCAATAAATTTCCCTTTTGCTTAGCCAAGTGTGAATTAGCTTCCTGACTGATATAAGTACATTTTATGATGAATATAGTTTACTCATCCCTCTGCCTCACCCACAGATAGAAGGGGAGTTTCTTGAGGCTTGGCAGGGACTGGGTCTAATTATCTGTGTGGACCAAGGGCCCAGCACAGTGGCAACAGAGTATATAACAGCTAACACTGACTTAATAGTGCCAGGGCTGTTGTGAGCCTTTACATGGATTCTCTCACTTAATTCCCTTAATAGCCATATAAACGAGGCACTAGTTAATATTGCTCTGATTTTACAAATGAAAAATTTGTGGCACACAGGTTGAATACCTTGCCCAGGGCCATAGCGCTGGTAATCTGCAAAGCCAGGCTCACTAGACAAATCACAAAATTATAGTAACAGCTACTGTAGAAAGTGAGTCGCCAACTCTCTTATAATTTCACCCTCCAGAAATAACTATTAAAAGTTTGCAGACCATTGCTTTAGATTTCACTGCACACTTACCCTATTATAACAATAATAATAACCGATAATTATAAAGTGCTTACTATGTGTCAGAAACAATTAAGAGTTCCACATATTAACTCAATCTTTCAACCCTTTATTCACACCCCCATTTTATAGAGGAGAAAACAGGTTAAGGCCAAGTTAATAAAAGGTCAACTGGGAATTGAACTTGTGCAATCTGGCAGCAGAGTCTGTGCTCCAGCCACAACACTGTACTGTGTTGACACTGAATCATCATTCAGTAAGTGAATTAATTAAAGCAAAGGGTTTGTGATCAATCCTCTGTGAGGAGAGGGAAAGGAAATTGGATTGTTTCTTAGTCTGAGTCAGATATGAATTCAGTATAGAGCCCATATTTGTTGTGGAACATGAGTTCCCTGGGGAGCAGACAAAACTATGTTAGAATATAAGCTTTTAAAGACTATTAGCCAAATAAATGATCTGAGAATTGGCTGCCATTTGAGTCTTCTGTGCGATAGTGTCCTCTGTTGGCACAGGTAGTGGGCATTATTAGGTTTGCCTCCCCGGCATTCATTCACACCAGACAGCAGAGTTTGGGTGAGACTAACCCACCCCCAGCTTCAGGTGTGGACCCATCAGTGTAAGCCCTCCCATCCCGGTGACGGGTTCCCGAACGGGTAGTAACCAGGGCCTAAAACAGTGCAGGGCATTCCTTGACCATAGTGGCTATTCCAGTTGGTTCAATCTGCATAATGCTGGGGGCTTTTGTTCACTGGAGGAAAGGTGACCCCTCAGTCCTTCATGAAAGGGGTGTTCCTGGCAACTGTCTGAAACTAGGCAGGACTAAGGACAAAGACAACATGAAGCTGAGAGAATGGCAACACTCTCATCGAACCTAGAGGTAACTGAAGCCCAACCTACCTTCTGGCTCTCTCTGTTACGTGCACTAATAAACCTCTTTTATTATAAACCGATTTGCATTGGATCGTCTGGTGTTTTCGCATTTCAGCTGTGAAGCATGGATAGTCAGAAACCGCCTTAGAGCTTCATCATGCATGAGAAGTTCTGAAAAGTGACGGACTCACCGGTAGTATTCCAGGACCGGCTCTGTTTGAGCTTCATAAGCTTTCAGTCTCTTGACAACCGTCTCTGGTCTGTCATCCTCACGCTGGACAAGAGGCTCTCCAGTCAGGTCATCGATGCCCTAAATGGGAGTCAGACCGGCTGGTATCAAACATCTTATTTTTGAAAGATATTTTTTATAAGCAGTTACATGATTTTTAAACAGGTATGTTCTCTACACAAGCACCAAGCACACAAATGGGCTTTTAAATAGAATCAAATCCAAACCCAGATCATTAAATACAGAGTCATAAGACTCCAGGATCATTTCCGCAGTGTCAGTCACCTGCTCCTTAGAGTAAAAGCTTTTCTAAGCAGCCTCTAAATAATTTCACATTGTGGACAAAAAGGGGTCCTACAGAAAGTAACCTCACAGAGTGATCTGATCATAAATTCCTAACTGGGCAGGTCATGGTGGGTAGTCAGGCCCCAGGCATATAACTTCCTCAGTAAAAGGTCTATCTTTGCCTTAAGCAAGCCCTATCCATTGTTTCTGTGCATCTGGGTTAACATACCTTTGAAATGCCTCTTTTCAGACCCCTCAGAAGAATAACCCCCCTCAAGAGAGCACATAATCTTGTTAACTACCCTGTAATCTAATCCCCGCCTTGCTCTCTTCCACCTTCATTTAATCTTCCTTACATTCCTTAATCAAAATGCATATGAGAAGCTATGAGCTGCCATTCTTGGAAGTATCTTCCTCAGTCAGCTGAGATGATGATACTTCCAGGCATATCCTCTGGCTCTAAATTTTTATAGTAATTCTCTACAGGTTTGGACATTCTTACGGTGAATATATATATACGAGTATATATATACAAAAAGATTTGGCTACAGGCTGGGACTCTCAACTGCAAGCCCTGAGTAAACCAAAGTGTCTCTAATCCCTATGGCCCCAACTCCTAACACACTCCCTGGCACAGAGTAGGAAATCAATAAATGCTTTTGAAGGAATAACAAACCTCTGTTACTCCTGAGGATGCCTAGTAACAAGCTCAGTGGACTAGACAAGTCAACTACACCAAGTAACCTGAGAATATACCCTCAGGAGTTTTGGTCAAGCAGGATTTCCAAGGTCATAAAACTTCTGTCTGTGAGGGCAAGAGAGCTCAGACACTGTCTGCTCTGTGGAAGGCCGTGTCACACCAAAACTACTCACCACAGTTTTGGGAGGGTTGAATTCAATGTTGTAGACTCGGCCACTGGCTGGATGAATCCAGCGAGCAGTGAGGCGTTGCTTAATGATCTCAAAGGGCACGTTCAAGTTAATCACTGTGTCTATCTGATAAGCTCTATCCAGGGCTTCTGCCTGAGGAAGCGTCCTTGGAAAACCTTTACAAAATTTTTTAAAAAGAACAAAGGAAAGGAAGAGAGGAAGGGACAAAGAGAGGGAAGAAGAGAATTAATTAATTGAGCAATTTGAACAAAAACAGTAACACCGTGAGGCAGGCCGATCACAGCTGTAGGGCAACTGTGATGGTTCATTTCATGTGTCATGACACATGCATGAAATTTCATGTGTCAACTTGACTGTGCCCAGATATTTGGTCAAACACTATTTTGGGTGTGTTTGTGTGAGAGTGTTTTTGGATGAGTTTGACATTTAAATCAGTAGATTGAGTAAAACAGGTTGTTCTCCCTAATGTAGGTATGCCTCATCTAATCCACGGGAGGCCTGAATAGAATGAAAGGGCTGCCCTTCCCCAGAATAAGGAAGCTATTTCTCCTGCCTGACTGCCGTGGGCCTGCTGGGAGATGGGCTTTTTTCCTGCCTTCAGACTCAAACTGAAACATGAGTTCTTCCTGGATCTTGAGCCATTGGCCTTCAAACTGGGAGTACACCATCCCCTCTCCTGGATCTCCACTTATCAACCCACCCTGAAGATCCTGGGACCTGTCAGCCTCCATAATCACATGAGCTTGTACCTTACAATAAACACCTCTCTCTCCCTCTTTAGAAACTAAAAATCAACCTATCCTCAAGGCCTCCACTACACCTCTACCTGGCAAAAGTTTACAGCTGATTGTAAATTATCTTCTAGCCTTCCTTTTTCCTTTTGTGGTGATCCTCTCTCCTCATAAAATATTCTCAAAGGAGGGGGATGGAGCTAAAGTCACATCTGAAGGGAGCTTAAAAATCATGCAGTCCACTTCCCTCTTTCCATTCGGATCAAAAAGCAGGCCCAGAGAAGATGACTAGCCCAAGGCCTCAGGCTGGGTAGTGGCAGAACTCAGGCTCCCTGCCCACCATCCATGATGTCTGTCTGTCTGTAGCCCATGAAATGCTCATTTTCCTGCCCACACTCATCATTTTAGGCAGCTGAAATGCTCGCGACACTTCACTTACCATCCAATAGCCAGCTATATTGGGTGAGATTTTTCAGCTCATGGAAGGCCAGCCGAGTCATGACATCATCTGGGATGAGCTTCCCTTGTTCAATGAAAGTCTTGGCTAACACACCAATTTCTACAGCAGAATGAGGGGGAAAAAAGCAAATCAGCAAGTATACTTGTTTTATCCCATCCAGGTCCCTAGGAAACTGGTTACCCAAAGATTACACACTAATATGAAAATGTGCATCATCAACTTTTGTGATAAAAACAGAGGTTACAAAATAATCAATGCTTATTTAAAATTCTCCATTATGTAAAAATATATAAATGTAAATGTATAGACATAAAAAACAATGGTAACAGTAGCCATCTCTGTGTGACATAATTGTGTAACTTTTTTTTTAACATATTTGTACTTTTCTGTATTTTCTAGATTTTCTATCAGAAACAGCATATAAAATTTCTGAAATTATTTTTTTAAATAAGAATTTGAAATAGTCATTTTTAAGTGACTCTGTTCAAGTGATGTACAGGCTTTTGTAATCCTCTAAAACTGATGCTGCTATCACAACTCAATTTTTAACCAGATTAGCACTGTAATCATATTATATTTTCATTACTAAAACACACTGGAAAAGAATTTATAAACAATTTAAAAATATTACCCATAACTATATGTCATTCTTATGCAACAGTATTTTAATTTCCTCATCATCTCTCACCAAACTATTTATATACATTCAGAATTGTAATGCCATTGTAATCTGTGTATATAAGTATATAGCTTTGTGCTCTCTTCTCACTTAGCATTATTTTGCAAATACTTTTCAGTGATTTTATAATGTCACTTTTCATAACTATATAACACTCTATCAACATATATCCAAATGTGATGTATAAAAATACACTATCAGGCCGGCTGAGTGCCTCGTTGGTTAAGAGTTGGCTTAGGAGTGCGAGCTCTGAGCAGCAGGGCTGCCGGTTCGGATCCCACATGGGCCAGTGACACTGCCCTCTACAGTTAAAACGGTGAACAACAGTTCGACCTGGAGCTGAGCTGCCATGAGTCACCAGTGACGGCGTAGGCTACAGTGGGGCTGCAGTAGGCTGCTGTAAGCTACCATGAGTAGCCAGCAGCTGACGTGAGCTACCATGAGCCGCCGTGAGTGGCCGTCCAATGGCCAGGAACCGATCTGCCTCAGCCAAGAAGAGCACAATGATCACAATACCAAAATGGGCCAGTGAAGCGACGTCCTCCACAACTAAACTGAAGAACAAAAGGACAGCAACATGTCTGTTCCTCTCCCCCAATTCCCCAATAAAATCTTTTTAAAAAAATACACTATCACAGCAGTACTGTTGAACATTTAAACTAGAATTGTTGTTTCCCTATTGCTGCTTTTAAAGATTTTAACACCATTTCTTTTTCTTCTTTCTATTTCCTTTATTTTTGTCTTCTGAATTAATCCTGATGGATAAATTCCTAGGAGCCAGATTAAAGGGTCAAAATATGAGTGTTTTCAAAATCCTTGGTATGAATTACCATACTGACTTCAGAGCATATTCTAAATTGTCAAATTCATGAAGCTCGAAGTGCCTAAAAGCTGGCTGCCATTTGACAGGTGTACTTCCTGGGTTTATATATAAAGACAGTCTATTCAATAAATGGTGCTGGGAAAACTGGACAGATACATGCAAAAAAATGAAACTGGGGACGGCTGGTTAGCTCAGGTGGTTAGAGCGCAGGGTGCAGTGCTCATAACACCATGGTTGCCAGTTCGATTCCCACATGGGCCACTGAGGTACACCCTCCACAACTGGATTGAAACCACTACTTGACTTGGAGACAATGGGTCCTGGAAAAACACACCGTTCCCAAATAATCCCCAATAAAAACATTTTTTAAAAAAACTGGACCACCTTTTTACTCTATATACAAGAATAAATTCAAAACGGATTAAAGACTTAAATGTAAGACACAAAACCATAAAACTCCTAGAAAAAAAAATAGGCCATAAACTCTCAGACATTACTCTTATTAATATTTTTACTGCTATATCTCCTGGGGCAAGGGAAACAAAAGAAAAAATAAACAAATGGGACTATATTGAACTAAAAGTTTTTGCACAGCAAAGAAAACCATCAACAAAATGAAAAGACATTCTACTGAATGTAAGATATTTGCCAATATGTGATAAGATGTTAGTATCCAAAATTTATTTAAAAACTCATACAACTCAACAGCAAAAAAACAAATAATCCAATTAAAAAATGGGCAGAGAACCTGAATAGACATTTCTCCAAAGAGGACATACAGATGGCCAACAGACATATGAAAAGATGCTGAACGTCACTAATCATCAGAGAAAAGCAAATAAAAACCACAATGAGATACCACTTCACTCCGGTCAGAATGGCTATCATCAATAAATCGACAAACAACAAGTGTTCACACGGATGTGGAGAAAAGGGAACCCTTGTGCACTGTTGGAAGAATTGCAAACTGGTGCAATCATTATGGAAAATAGTATGGAGGTTCTTCCAAATATTAAAAATAGAATTACCTTATGACCCAGCAATTCCATTCCTGGGTATTTATCCCAAGAAATCCAAAACACTAATTCAAAAAGATATATGCACCCCTATGTATATTGCAGCGCTATTTAAAATAGCCAAGATATTGAAACAACCAAAATGTCCATCAATAGATGATTGGATAAAGAAATTGTGGAACATATGTACAATGAAATATTACTCTGCCATAAAAAAAGAATGAAATCTAACCATTTGCGACAACATGGGTGAACCTAGAGGGTATTATGGTAAATGAAATAAGTCAGACTAAGAAAGACATATGATCTCACTTATATGTGGAATCTAAAGAATAAAACATATGAACAAACAAAACAGAAACAGACTCATAGATACAGAGAACAAACTCAATAGTTACTAGATGGGAAGGGAGTTGGGGGCTGGGTGAGAAAGGTTAAGGGATTAAGAAGTACAAATTGGTAGTTACAAAATAGTCACGGGGATGTAAAGTACTGTACAGAGAATATAGTCAATAATATTGTAAAAACTATGTACAGTGTCAGATGGGACTTATCAGGAGGACCACTTCATAAACTATATAACTGTCTAACCAATACACTGTACACATGAAATAAATATAAAATAATATTGAAAGTCAACTATAAAAATAGTCACAGAGATAATAAAGTATAGCATAGGGAATATAGTCAATAATACTGTATAGCTATGTACACTGTGAGATGGGTAATAGACTTATTGAGGTGATCACTTTGTGAGGTATGTAAATGTCTAATCACTATGTTGTTTTGTACACCTGAATGCAATTAAAAAAATATATCCACACAAAAAATTATATATGAATGTTCATAGCAACAATATTCACAATAGACAAAAACTGGAAATGCCCAAATGTCCATCAAGTGATGCATAAGTAAAATGTGGTCTATCCATACAAAATCATATTTAGCCATAAAAATAAGTGAAGTACTGATATATGTTCCAAAATGTATGAACTTTGAAAACATGCTAAGTGACAGAAGCCAGACACAAAGGACACATATTATATGATTCCATTTATATGAAATGTTCAGAATAGGCAAATCTATAGAGACAGAAGGAAAATTTGTGGTTGTCTAGGGCTGGGAAGCATTGGGGAAAATGGAGAGCAACTGCTAATGGGAATAGGGTTTCTTTTCAAGGTGGTAAAAATGCTCTAAAATTGATTGTTGCACAACCCTAAATATAATATGATGCACTGAACCATATACAATCTGACTGGTATCTTTATAAGAAGAGGAAGAGACACCAGGAGAGCATGCAACAGAAGAAAAGCCACATGAGGAAAAAGTGAGCAGGTGGCCATTTGCAAGCCAGGAAGGACCACACCAGAAACCAACACTGCCAGCACCTTAATCTTGGATTTCTAGCCTCCAGAACTCTGAGAAAATAAATCTCTGTTGTTTAAGTCACCTGGTCTGTGGTATTCTGTTATGGCAGACTGAGCAGACTAATACACACAGCCATCTGGCCATCTGCTCCCCGTGCCTACATTCCAATTGTGAGTACCACCACATTTGTCTCTGTATCTCCAGTACCTGGCACACATGAGATGCTTGATGGATCCATGGATGGATGGATGGATGGATGGATGGATGGATGGATGGATGGATGGAGAAATGAGCTCCCCTGGATTCTAGCCATGGAATTTTAAAAGACCTAATTTATTTTGTTTAAAAAAGAAATCTATCAAAACCTTACTTTCTTTGAGACGGTGTTTATTATCAGGTTCATCTTTTAAAAATGCTCTTTAAACTGTTTAAAGGAACTTTAGTGCACCCACAAAATAACAGAAAAGTGGGAGACAACCCAAATGTCCACAACTCATGAATGGATAAATAAAATGTAGTACATCCATTCAATGGAACATTATTCAGCCATAAAAAGGGATGAAGTACCAATACATAACCACAACATGGGTGAGTCTTGAAAACATTATGCTAAGTGAAAGGTGCCAGACACAAAAGACCACATATTGTATGATTCCATTTGCATGAAATGTTCATAATAGGCAAATCAATAGAGATAGAAGGTAGATTAATGTAGCCAGTGGCTCAGATCGGGTGGGGCGGGGTGGAAATGAGGGTGGCTGCTAATAGGCATGAGGTTTCTTTTGAGAGTGATAAAAATGTTCTAAAATCAATGGTTGCACAACTCTGTGAATATTCTAAAGTTCCCTGAAGTGTAAACCTTAAATAGGTAAATTATATGGTATGTAAATTATACCTTAATAAAGCTGTTAGAAACAAAGAACTGGGACAATCCTCATGGAAAGCAATACCGTTAAAGGTACAGAACAGTATGTATAGTTTGCTATCATTTGTGTACAAAAGAAAAACAACAGAAGGAAAAATGTTGTATGTACATGAAATAGCTCTGGAAGGATCTTTTCACTAAAAGTTGCTTTATATTTTTTGAAATTCCAAGTCACGTAAATGTATTGCCTATTATAAATCAAACGTTTCCATTATAAAAATAACTTGCTCTACTGTCAATATCATTCTAATTAGGCAGGCCTATGCTACACAGGTGTACATAATAAAAAGTTTGTTAGATATACAGAATCTTGGCTCCTGACAGAGGCTTTGAAGATTATCTACTTCCCCAACTCACAGATGAGAACAAATAAGATTCAAAAGGGTTCGCCATCCAGTCCAGCGTTACTTTGAGAAGCACCAAGCTGCAGTGCAGTTTCTCAAACTTTGGGCAATCATATGGCAACCTTACAATTTCTGCCATAGCTGAACTATTATTTACGATATACTTTTCTTTTAAAGTGACTCAGCTTTTTAATTTCATAAGCTATAATAGTCACAAAATTAAAGGTTTGGTGTGCTAGTTGTTTTTAAATACACTTTGAAATCAAATGAAATTTTTTTATTTGTTTTTAAATTTGAATTTTACTTTTACTTGAGATAAAATTTTGTCTACCTAAAATTATCTCATGAACCTCAATGTGGGAAATGCTGCATAATGGAAAGAGTAATTTAACTGGCACACAAGGAAACCTGGGTGTTCACCCTTGTTCCCCAGTAACTGCTATCTATTGTTGAGCAAGGTCTTTAGCCTCTCCTGAATGTAATTTCCTCATCTTTAAATGAGAGGACTAATGTCTAAGGTTCACACTCCAGTTTCCTGACTCCAGGGTCCAGTGGTAACCTATGGTTACTCCAAGTTTGCCACTGTCAACCACTTGCCTCCTGTTTTCATTGTCTTTAATTACATCTGCTGGGACAATTTTAAACTTTAGTTATAAAATACAGAGCCATGGGTTATAAAATACCGTCATGAACTGGTTGTTGGAGAGTAAATTGGTGCCATCCTTTTGTAACACTATTTGATGGTACCATATTTATAGAAATTCCATACTAGGAAATAAGCAGAGATGTTACCAAATGTTCACGCACAACATAGTCCTAACAGTATTTATTATAGCAAAGAATGGCTAACAACATAAATGTCTGATAACAGGAAATATTTAAATTAGTAACTGCAATCTTGATGAAACTAAATATCGTCTTAAAGACTGCTTGATGATGTGTGAACATGCTCACAATAAGTGAGGGAAAAGGTATCTAAACAATTTAGAATATAACAAAATTGCAAACACATAAATGCAACAGAGAAAAAAGAGAAAAATATATAAGAAAAAGCAGCAAAGGGTTCATTATAATTGTCTTTAGGTGGCGAAATACAGAGGATTTTAATTTTTTTTATATTCTCATGTTTTTCTTTCTTTATCATAAATATACTTTATTCTTAGTATCAAAAACATTAAGCAGTATTTTTTTAAATGAACGATTACACCTCTTTTGGCTCTGATCCTATGAGAAACATCCATCCATTCACAAATATTTATTGAGAATATATTCTTAGTCCTGAGATACGGAACATCTGTAATAACAATCTCATGAAACCTCCCTAAACCACATTTTCTGTTTTCCTTGTTAAGGAATTGCCTATAAAGACTCCAGAAAGAGCAGATGCCTGAGACAAGCTAAACATCTTCCCCCACGATCCTCTCTTCCCTCTAGCCTCACTTTTCATGTTGTGAAACATCAAAGAGGACAGCAGGCATGTCATGGGATAGTAAGGATAAACAAAGCGCATTGTTTCTAATTTTTAAATAAATATTTTCAACAAGTTTACTTATTGGCTTTAATTTTGTTTTTTTAATGTTTTGTGTTTTCACAAAGTGAGGTCTCCTGATGGTGTTCTGTACCGCACAGTAATATATCACTGCTAAGTTATTTTTCGGAGAATCACTTAAGAATTCTTTATTCTGATCCACTTTGGATAAACTTACCCCAACTAGGTGCAGTACTGGAGACCGTTTGTTGACTTAACTACTTCAATACATTGCATCAACAACACTTAGCAAATAAGCCCAACAATTTAACCTTTTGAAGAAGTCTAATTAACTACAAAAAACTTCATGATTTTTTTTTAAAGATCAATATTAGAAGAGAAAAATAAAGGTAGTAATTCACCAAACCAGGTGCTGAACCAAAGAACTCCAAGAGACAAACTAAAAACACTGGGGTGATTCTTTTTTTCATTTAAATGTCACTATTTTGAAACAAACTAACAAAACCCCACCTAGTAATAACCTACCGTATATGTTCATCAACAGGGAATCGATTAAATAAATCATAGATTCAGCAAATAGATACCTATACAAACATTAAAAGAATGAAATGGATTTCTATGTTTTCATGTGTAAAGATATCCCAGGTACAAAGTGAAAACACACTGGTGCAGAATACATTTATAGTATGATTACATATTACATAAAATAAAGCATATACATATACATATAAATAAAGCTTGTACATAAATTTCTAAGAGGAAACACAAGATACTGTTCCCCTCTGAAGAATGGGATTGAGTCAGGTCATGAGAGAGGGCTTTACTTTTATTTTAACTACTTCTGTCCTGTTTCCAATCCTTTTTTTATCTTGTGCAGGCACTACGTCTATAATTTTTAAAAGGAGCTTCAAAATGAGTTCTATTTTGGAAAATAAAGGTCAACACTTTTGAGAAAAAAAGAAAAACCTCATCCTGCTATTGAATTTGGAAGAAGAGCTTCCTTAAGATATAATTTACATAACATAAAATCGACCCATTGTAAAGTGTAGTTTGTTGACTGGATTTTGTGCTGAGTTATAAGAATTTATCTGGCACGAGAAACAAAACAATCTTTCAGATAATCACGCACATGAATAGCCTTCGTGTCTAAGAAATCTCTGGGGGTCGAAGATCTAAGCCAATTGTGTGCCTGCAGGGAGGGTAAATAGTGCTCTGCCTTCAGATTATAGGGGAAAAGCCAGAACTACAAAATCTGAGTTTAACCAAAAAAGAAAAAAAAAAAAGGCGGGGTGGGGCGAAAAAAATTAAGGAGCAAACAGTTCTCCAGGCGCAAGGGCACATGGAGAATAAGCCACAGCTCGATGAACCCTTACGAGCAGCTGCGACTGGGGCTGGACATGCCACTCAAAGCCAAGAGATTTCCTTTCATCTTTGAACTTCGAACGCGTCCTAACGTCCTAGTTCCTTCCCCCAATAACTCGCCTGCAGCTGTCCACGGAGGTCAGAGGTTTCGGTGAGCAATCAGTCTCTCAGAGGCCCGAGGTCTCGCCCCTGGGCAGCGGCAAGCAGATGCTGCACCCACATCCCTGGACCCGCATCCCAGGGACTCGCATTCCCCGCCCCGGCCCCCCTGCCCGCAAATCCCAACCCGTGCGACAGCGCACTGCCCGGCTCCACCCGGGCTCCCACCTGTGCCCCTAAGCATGTTGCCTCGGAGCAGATCCCCGCTGGAGAGGTGCTTCAGCTCGAAGTGTTTGGTGATTCGCGACGACACGGTGCCCTTGCCAGAGCCCGGTGCCCCCATGATCACTGCGCGCAGTAGCCGCCCGGACGCCCCCATGGCCGCAGGGAGAGGCCCGCGAGGCGCGGGCAGTGGGGCCTCCGCCTGGCTGCGCGCTCACCGGGCTCCGCGGCCCCCGGCCCCCGGCCAGCGGGCTCACAACGCTGCGAGCTGGCGGCAGCACAGCGCCCAAGCGCTCCCGGAAGTGAGGCGAGGGCCACCGGGGCCGCCCCTCCCGCGCCTTGCCCGGCTTCAGCGCCCGCCCCTCGGTTGCTCAGAGCGCTTCTTCCCACCGCCCGGGCCAGGCCGCGCAAGCCGCGCCCCCGCGCCCTCCCCTGCGAGTCCCTGGGCCGCCCCGCGCCCACCTGCGCCCTCGGCGCCTCCTCCCCACCCACCTGCTGCCGTCGGCCCCCTTCAGCCGCTCTGCTGCTCCCACTTTGCTCTCCGCCGCCTGAGGCCCCCCGAGGCCTCCTCGGCGACCCCTGGTTGCCCCCGCCGCCTTCCTCAGGCTGGGCCCCGCGTTCTGTCAGTGTCCTGCCCGGTCCTGCCGGATAGACCGCGCCCCCTCGGAGCACCCTTGGCAATCCCTAAGCGCCCCCTCCCTATACCTAGCTGCCCCCTGCGTCCAGTGGTTACCGGATGCCACCCTTCCCCACCACACACCGTTCGCCTCTCCTCCGTGCCAGGTGCTGTCCTGCCCAGTCCCAGCCGTATAGACCAGGCACCCCCCGTGCCCCTCCCAACCTCTGTGCCCCCCTCGCCATCACCAGTGCCCCTCCGTTCTCCAGGGTCACCAGACTGCCCCCTCGTCCTCACCCTACCCGCACTTTGCTTCACTGCCCTCCTCCTCCCCTCCTCTGCTGCGGGGTGGCTTTAAGGGACCCCCTCCTCCTCTCTTGCTTTCGTGCTGTTTTTTAAGGAACGTTTTTCTGTGTACCATCACAGTAGGTGAAAATGAGTGGAAAGGGCCTTCCTCATCATTTCGCAGGAGAGAAAAGCCAGTTGAAATTGAGTGAGGCACTGTAAGTCACACATCTATTGAGCGATGACTTCAATAAAAGTCACACTTTCACAGCTTCAGATTCAAAAGTAGCTGTTAACTTTACTCTGCAAAGCCTAAAAATACAGGCTCCTCCTCAAGCTCTATTATTTGCGTTCCTCGGTGAATTGATTGCACAAATATTTATTCAGTGTCAGATATTGCTGTAAGAGGCCTTGGAAATGCTGTGGTGAACCAGACAAAATTTCTACTCCTTGGAGTTTAAAGACTAGTGGTAGAGGCAGTTCATAACAAGGAGAAGAATAAAATGAGCAAGATAGTATGAGATAGTGCTATGAACAAAATAAAAGAGAACGTGTGAAAGTGTGGAGGAATGCTGCTTTACATCCCATGATCAGTAAGTCTTTGAAGAAACGGCATTTGTCCTGAGTACTGAATTAGAAGATGGACGGAGACCCACACAGGCAAGTAGGGGAGGCCCTAGAGCCGAAAGTTTGGCATGTTCCAGCAACAGAAACACAAGACATTTAGTACCTTTTTCCTCTGTAAAAAAGGCCATGGAAGATTAGTATGGTGTTGTTAAAATAATGTGTATAAAGTACAATGCCAGCTACAGGGTAAGTGCTCAATAAAGGTTAATCATTGTTATTATTATCATCATTTCTTTGTGCTAGGACACTATGCTAAGGCAGAAAGAAGGCTCTGTGAAAATAAACAGTGCCATTCTCCTTAGCGGTTGCCAAACAAATAGCCCAAAACTGCTTTTGATTTCAAAGACAGAAATTATTTCAGAGAGGAATGGTAAAGAAAAGCTTGCTCCCTGGTGAATGTGAGCTGGGTGAATGGATTTAATAGGTAGATGGTGCAGTGCTTAGAAAGAAATCTAATAGCTCATACATATTCATTACTAAGAAAGAATGAATGAAAATCAATGAATTAAACATTCAGTTCACATAGTTAGAAAAAGGACATCAAAATAACCCAAGGAAAGCAAAGGAAAGGATTAAGTAAAGAAAAACATAAATGAGAGGATTAGAAAACTTAAGAAAAGAATTAGAGAACAAATGAAAAGGTCTGGACAAGTACAAGTTACGAAACACTAGAAAGCCTGAAGGTGTAGGGAAAGTACTTCTAATCCAAACTGGGAACATTTGAGGTTTTAGCTACAAAAGTGACCTGAAAGAAAATCCTGGGGAAATTTGGCTTAGAAAGGAATGTTCAAACAGACAAAAATAGCTGAGGAATCATCCTGTCATTCGGGAGGAAAAGCTGAGTGTTGTGGCCACAACAGGCCCCACAAAATGCCAACTAACTGCAGCTTTGCTGAAGTTTGCTGATTACGAATGAGTAAGTAATTGCCAAACTGTGGGAAAGCTCCTGGCAGCTGTGCCTAATGCAGCCATTTCACCATACATAGGTATTTGTATGGGTGGGTTCTTTGCTGTTTAACTTGCTCCAATGGTAAAGACACGGAATTCAAATTTATAAATCAGAAAGTGTGAGTCAGGAAGAGATTTAAAAAGTGCTTATATGTTAGGACTTGCCCTGTAGCAATCCTGAAGAAGTGACGATTTCAAGAAGCCTGAGGTAGAGGACCATGTGGAGACAGGCCCAGCTGTCCAAATCTTTCCAGCCATTCAGCCAAGCTACCAGTGTGGCCATATGAGTGAATCCAGGAGTAGGTAGAGAGTAGAGAAAAAATTTTTCCCTGAACTGCTAAAAGAACAGAATTGTCATTAACTAAGATTGGCAGGACTGTGGGAGGAACAGGTTTGAGGAAGAATATTAGAGTTGTTTTGGGGGAAGTTATGTTGGAGATGCCCTTGGGTTTGGGACATCCGGAGGGAGCTGATAAGGAAGCAGTTAGATGTACAAATTTTGAGTACATAGTAGAGGTCCAGGCTGAAGACAAAAAAGTTTGGGAGTTGTTGGTATATTTAAAGTTATGACATAATATAAACTCACTTAAGGAGTGAGTTTAGATGAAAGAAGAGGTCTGAAATATGAGTTCTCAGGTTCTCCAACATTTAGAGGATAAGGCCAAAACATTGAAGGAGTCTGAGAGGAGAGGCAAGTTATTATAGTTAAGAAAAAAAAAATGGGTGAATGTGGTGTTATGGAAATCAGTTAATAATGTGTTTCAAGGAGGGAGTGATTAAATTAGTCAAATTCTGCTGATAAATAGGACTAAGAACTAACTGAAAATTATTTCTAATTGTAAAAAACCCACAAAACCTATAAAATAGATTATTTTTCATTTACATTGTATAGATGAAAAAACCTGAGGGTACTTTTGACCAAAATCCCATAGCTATTCAGCAACTGAATTAGTGATTTCAAAAAATGCTAGGTGAAATATAGGAAATGCTTTCTCAGAGAGGAATCTTCTGGGAGTAGAATTAAAATTGTCCAGAACAAGGATATTAGGGGGAAAAGAAAGAGAAAGTCTAAACAAAAGTGGGGGAACAGAACAGAGAAGGCTGAAGTCAGCAAATATAAGGCCATATATGTTTTTAACACTTTGCAAAAGCAACAGAAGAGGGAGCCTTAGAGCTAAGACAATTTTATTGTAACATTCATTTGAAAGGATAAATAAACAAGAATATCTGGGAGAGACATGAAAAAGAAGAAAATGAGCAGAGGCTAGCCCTACCAGTTAGCAAAACATTATAAAGCCAGCATAATAAGAAGATGCATTGGCACATGAATGCATAGATCAATAAAACATAATAGGAAGTTCAAATATAAACCTAATTGCATCTGAAAATTTAATATGTGATCAAGATGGCATCTCAGATCAATGGAGGAAGAGACCTTCTTCATAAATAGTGTGGGAATAAATGTATAGCCAGTGGGGAAAGATACAATCCTATCTGTTTTTCCACACAAGATGAATTGCCAATGTGTCAAAGATTTAAATTAAAAATAAATAAAACTAAATAAATACTAGAAGTATGCAGATTCCTCTATAACCAAGGAATTGGGGAAACTTTTCTAACTTACTCAAAATTCAGAGGTAATAAAGGAGAAGACTAAAGATTGGACTATACGAAACAGCAATAGCAACAACAAAATATTTGCATAACAAAACACATCATAAGCAAAATAAAAAGAAATTACAAACTGGGAAAAAATATTTCCAACTTATATTATAGGCAAAGGATTAGTGTCTAGTGGTGTGTTCTGCTGGGGAGGGAGAGGAGGAGCCCTGATTCATGGCATTTGCCAATTATCATAAATACTCTCACCATAGCCAAGATAACATCATCTGGACCAATGTGACATCAACTGGCTCACAAAATTCCTGAAAATTTAACAATCAGCACTTGTAAGCCAGCACTAACCAGCTTTAGCACACCACTGCAAATATTCCTAATGTATTTATATTGTGCTTCAAAAGATGGAAAAGAAAAGGAAAATTGCCCTGTGGGAAACAGGCAAGAGATATAAACACAGTATACACATACACACACATACACACACACACATACACACACACACACACACACAAGAAATTAAAATATAAATATATGAAAAGATGTTGAATCATACCTATAATAAAAGAAATGCAAGTTAATACTACACTGAAATAGGATTTTTCGACTACCAGCTTGGCAAAAATCTAAGTTTGACAACATAACATATTGACAAGGTAGTGAGGAAACAGGCACTCATATTTTGCCAGTGGGAATGCAAAAATGGTGCAACCCATGGAAAGAGAAATTTGGCAATATCTAGCAAAATTCCATATACATGTACTTGTTTATCCATAAATCCCACTTCTAGGAATCTATCCTAAAGCTACAGTGGCAAAAATACAAAAAGACATATACATAAAGTTTTGCAATGACAACCCTTTGTAATAGCAAAAGACTGGAAACAACCCCAATGTCATTCCACCACAGAATGGTTGAGTAAACAAGGACCTACTCACATACTAGAATACTACACAGATACAGAAACAAATGAAAAATATCTCCATGTACTGCTAAGGCATGATCTCCAGTGAAAAAAGTAAGGAGGCAAAACTGAAAGTAATATACCACCATTTAATGGAAGGGGGAGGAGGATATGAACACATAGTTTACCAAAATAGGATAAAATAAAAACAAAATTAAAAAAACAAATAAAACACAAAATTTCATTTTATTTAAACAAATTTTAAAAACCTGATTACCTCTAGGGGGAGGAGGGAATGGGACAGAGGGACAGGGATTGAGGTCAGAATTCTC